TATCAGAAATTGAAATATTAGCCTACCGTGTCCTTCAGTTTTCCCCACTTTCTGCGATTGTACTGCAGATTCCTCTGTGTAACCTGTTATAAAAAGCCAAAGCATCAATATTGTATTAACAAAGGCATTCTGCTACAAGTACAATACAAATGTTTGGTCCCAGTTTAAAATGAAAGATTGCTTTACTGCAATACATGCACAGTTTATTTGTTAATCAATGTGCCACCAGGAGGGATAAACCTAATTACTCAGCACATGGTCAGAACAAACCACAAAAAGTGGAATAAACAGTTGAGAAATGGACCTGCTACCTATTGGGGAGGTTATTCAATACCTTCCCCCAAACCCAACATAATTTTTTGCTACTGGTCAGGAAAAAAATTAGGTATGCCCTGATGTATAAACTCATATGACAATTTTTGAGACTTCTGTAAAGAAAAAAAAATGTAAAAACCATGACAAATTGATAGCTAGAACATGACCTGGATGTAATAGACCCAGATGCATTCAACCATGTTCCTTGCTCTATGATTCAACGGATTACACTTCCCCCTCACTGCGCTCATTTGCATAAATTATCATTCAATCTTAGGTGCCAAAAAAAGGTGCTGAAGAGGATTAGAATGCAGACCCCCCCAAAAAAAAAAAAAAAAAACCAAATTTTCCCACAGTGGTCCTACATGTAGGAACAAATAAATATTAATTCACACTAAAATAACATGGTAAAATAATTATACATAAATATAGAGAAGATCATCAATAATGTGAACATGCTGAAAATCAAAAACAATGCAAAATTGGGGAAGAAGCCAAGTCAAATAAGGCAGAGTAGGTATATTTTGAAATTAGAAAATATCACTAAAACTTAAATAAGTAAGAAGGGGGAAAAAGTAAGAAGAGTGCCAAAAAAAAGATTCAAATATTTCACTGGTTACACATAATTTTCAAAAAATGATACACACTTTTAGAAACCTAATACAAATGTCAGATAAAACACATCAATACAAATACACACGATTTTAAAGATTATTTTTAAAGTTGTAGGACAATTTGTTCAAGTATATCTGGTCACAAAAGGATGTTCTAGAAAAAATATTGTTTCATAATTTTCCTGCAAGGAGAATAAATGTCAATGTGCTTCATAAACTGTCCTTCCTAGTGTAACTGTAAGGACCCTGGAGGTTTACTCATCATTTGCATAGCGGGATTTCACACATTAAAACTGTTTATTGTGTGTTTTCCTGTGATAATAGTACCACCTGTTTTGTACCAGTAGTGTGAGAGGAAACATTTTGACTCATAATGTTATGTGGATTATTAGATTAATAAAGTTATTGGGGAAAAATTACTTCGTATGGTATTTTGTATGATTAAATCTTTTAACATAATTTCATGTTTGTGTCATAACAATGTTAAAAATAAATGCAATAATAACAACAAATGTGTTAGTGAAAAACTTATAAACCAACTTTACATAAAAGGAAATGCTTTCAGCAAGCTGTCCATCAACTTCAGTATGATGTGATGAGGAACAACAATTTTCCTGACCATTACAAACAAAAGGGCCATGCCATAAACCTTCATGTGGTTACAACTCCGATTTACAACTACCGGTAGCTAGAAAATCCCCTGTTAGTTCACAAAACTTGTGTCCAGAAGTGCATGACCCTCATCCCTCTCTACCCCTGTGAAAACCACCCTCCAAAGAGGAGAAGAAACATCTAATAATCAATGCAATGTGGTTCACTGTTTACAAAAAAGAGATCTGGGCTTTGGCCTCCCATTGGGAATTGGTTGGAAGAGGCTGATTAGAAAAAGAAGATTATTTCTGACAAGTAACAAATTTTTAAAAAGGCTTTCGACTTTAGATAAATTATGGAAATTACTACATCAAAAGGCAATCACTAGTGGGCTCCACTTATGTATGTCGAGCATAGTCAGGGATTGTTACTTCAATTTTGCCCGAGGAGTGGGTCAGTTCCAAAGTGACAATCCCAACGTCTTGCCGGGAATGAGTGGTGCAGGGGGGAAATGTTGGTTATATACTGACAGATTTTGTGTTCCAGGTCACATTTTATATTTTTTTTTCTCGGATACTTGGCCTCCAAAAATCAATATGGGGGGGGGGAGGAAATCATTCTATATTACAGAAAAGTGTACAAATGTACAACTACATGTACCCCCTCACCAGTTGGCTCTGTCCGTATTTTGTGCACAAACGGACAGTTTATCAGTGTCCTCGATCCTCCTATTTCTGCGCAGATAACGCTCTGCAACCCAGTAGCTTAAAGGGAATGAACAACATTTGCTTTTGCTGTAATTTTCAGAAATACATGTAAATGGATTTGGAGGATTAGTATGTTATAGAAAATATTGTTAAACTGACTTGTTACATGTTTTGAGCTTGTAGACGCTGGAAAAACCAAGCAAACCTATCATGTTCTTGTAGTCTGGTTCCCTGACCCCATTTAAAATGAAACAGGGCAATTGATACACTTGGGGAATTGTAGGCTCAGAGAATCAGTCTAGCAGGCTTGTATCCCTTCGCAGGTGTGTAATCAATTGCAAAGAAAAGTCAGAATAACTAAATATGAAAACTTAGGAACAGTTTTTTGAAAAAAACCCAAGTTTTTTCCAACGCTGGTCGGCCGACCAGCGTTGGAAAAATACAGTTTTTCTTGAAAATGTCAGTGCACCAGGAGCCACGATTTTAAAGGATGATTTGGACTGTCAGTCCCTAATAATTCAGTGAGGTATTTCGTGACAATTTCGTAAACAATCCCTTTAAAAATAGCAAAGCAACCACTCTTTCCCTCAACAAAACTCACATTTTTGGCTTACGATCATCCATCATACCGATTAACAAAATGAAATCTCTTTATGGTGGCAGCAAGCGGGGAGTTCCAACAAGTGCAGTTTTGGCATTGTAGAAAAGAATCCTGCCAAATTCTACCATGGAACGCTTCATAAAAAAGTATGTGCTGTCCAGACCATGTAACTCAATGTAAATATTCTGTTTTTAATAACTTAGACTTGTTGGCTTTATGAAAACTATATTTCCTGAGCATTTCAAACATTATTTCTTTCTTTTTTCTTTCATTTTTTCAATGCCAATACACTTTTCGTAATTTCAGGATTATTTCAATATCCCATTTTGGAGATTTATACAAAGGCCTATATTTACATATTTACATATTAACCAGATTTATACATATTTACCTATTAAATGTAGATCCCAATGATATTGTTATTCTGAGCATCCCAATCAACAGAGACAGTTTTTAAGATGTCGGATTTTAAAACTTATGGCAAAAAAATTCCGAAATAATGTAAGAAACGTGTCTTTTTAGTTGCACCGTAAGTTTTCCCTTGTAGAAACTGAAAATTTCTATGACATCTCAACTATAAATATACTGACGATATTTGGCGACCAAGAAAGGACATCTTTTGGTCACATTTTTGACTTCTGCAGGCCCGGAAGCATGATCTGCCTGCATTCAAGCATGATTCAAGTTTGTACTTAAGTATTTGGCTGTAGAATTTGCCTGAATTTCTGGTAAAGCCTTCAATTTCCACTTTTTTTGGGCCGCTGGTTAAAGTTCGTGCATCAAAGGATACGATCCCGGTGAAAGTATGTCATTTCTTAGGATACACACCTTTCAAAATAAAGGCGAGTGCGCAGAAATAGGAGCGCGTAGCTTCAGAAGGTCTGACGATATAATTTTAATGTTAGTCAATTCAAAGTACGTACATGTACATGCAGGCCTAGGCCTACATGATTGTAATTGGCAACAAAACCGTATGCATAATTTTTTTTACTGTTTTCCCTGGATTGATGGCAGAACAATTTGCAGATCCGTGGAAAACATTTTCCCAGTATAGTTGCACTGTTCTTTCACAAAAAATATTATCTTGCTGAGTGATATTCAAAATAATTTCATCGCCACCTATTTTGGGTGATGATGAATGCATACACGTGGATATTTAAGTTCGATACAAAAAGGACAGTTCGAAGCTACTGCTATAGGCTATAATTTTAATTACGTGTTTTCTACTCAGCATTATTCCGGATGTCACTTTCTCCCATCATATCTCCAAAAGACAGTAAATTGCAAACAAAAATCGAGAACCTGCAATTCAGTTTTTGCAAAAAAATAATGTGAAAACGCATTCGGCTTTCAAAACATAATCAAGACGAGGTGTCTGGATACTCTTACCATTCTATCCTTATACCGGTAAAGGATTAAAAACTAACCTTGGTCTTGTTTACGGCAGGATTCGATTTTGGTGCTTGGTCCGTTTTGGGTTCTGATGATAGGCCTAAAGACGGAGGCGATTCAACATCATTTCTTTCTGACTCTGACTCCGACTCTGAACACATCTTCAGAGACAGATTAACATCAACGAACTATATGACAGTTTACGTTAGAATGTTGCTTTTTGCTCAAAAGTGGATGTTTTTTTTAATAAACAATTATACCGAGTCAAACGATCCAACCCACTCAGTATTGCACCGGAGATGACAACCACGTGCGCGCTTTGACTTATATGCCAAGGCTTTAACATGTGTGCACGTCCAGTACATACAGTACACGTACGTAGCAAGCATGCACTGTCAATCACAAGTGTCAAAAAGCAGTGATGTTTGAATATTCATAAAAAAGTAAGGTAGCGCACTACATCTGTCCGGGATTGGTGGGGCCTGATTTTTAATGAATATTCAAACAACAAAATCAGCTTCACTTTTGTGTTTTCCTCCAAAACATAATGTCATGGAATAAAACCAACTTCACATTTAAAAAAGAAACTTCCTACCCTTTCCTACCTAATATGTCTTCTGTCGTCATACCATCTTTACCTACCAATTATTCACGACTCCTACAGGAAAATATACACACTATAGTAGGTAAAGACGACTGAAAACAGACTAGTATTGCTTTGCACATGCGCATTTGGAGCGCAACCATCCGTGGTTTAGCTTCATAGGTCGTGATGCATAGATGCCTCGTATTTCATGGTGATTTTGGCCGATGCATTCTGTACAAAGGAAGTTAAACTTTCCCGTCGATTTCTTGTTACGTGACAAAATCAGCAATTGCGGTAAGTGTAAAATAGCGGGAATTCATCACTGATAAATAACGCGTCAAATTTTAGGAATTTTGTTCTGGTAAAAACGCGTAATGATTTGAATTTGTTTAACTGGCATGCGTGAAAGTTGTCTGACTCAGTGACTGTTTTTTTTGCCACCGCGTTCGTTTTCCTTGCAAATGTTGCAAGTTCAACTGTGTTCGTTCCCCACAATATGTGCCACGATGATTTCCGGACACGAATGCATGGAACGAACTCACGAAAAGCTTCAACATAACTAGCGTTATCACTGTAGTGTTACTAAAATGTGAATAACTTTATCATGGTTTCGTTGAAATGATGAGAATTTGGATTGAAAAATAAGAAAAATGGAAATTAGGCAGTCATGGCGTTTAAAAAAAAAAGGCAGTGTATATTTTGCCGGAGACGGCAAACCTTTAGTAAACGTTAGTTTGCCGGATATGCATTGAACATGCACAGTTACTGTTTTTTTGTACTTAAAACATTTTCCGGTGACAAGTTTTAGTGTGGCTCCATGCCAAAATTATCGTTGTTACCTCGTATTCACAAGATGGGATTCAGACCATTTTATAATTTCGGACTTTATTTCCCTTTAAAAAAAAATCCTCCAGAGCCACAAATCTGAAAAAGAAAATGTAATACTCTGCAAAAAATGTTTGAGACATGTTAAAACAATAAAAGAAGAATATTCTTATTTATTTGGGGATGAGAAAAAAAAAACTTTAAAATGTGGTGCGGTCGGAATCGAACGCGAGTCGTCCCGCTTACTAGAGCCTTTGCTTAACCATTACACCAAACGTGCTACACAACTTTTGGTGGGAATTTAATACATCTTATAATTCAGCCCTATTTTAAAGAGTACAGCGCCCTCTGTTGCTATGGATTGCCGCCGGCAAACCTTTAGTAATCGTTAGTTTGCCGTCATTACCTCCGGCAAAATATCCACTATCAAATTTTTTTGCAACCTGACGCCACTTTTTCTTCTCATCTCAATGAAGCCTTGCAAAAATGATGAGAAAACATGAATCTGGGAGTGGGACTGAGAAACGAGAAACATTTCAAATTTTTCTAGGCATGTTATTGTTAGGAAAGTGCATGGCTTCAGCCTTCAGGTCGCAAAATTTTTCCCCAAATATTTCCAAATGTGTTTCAATGTGTTGGGTTTAGAAACTAGGAAGAGACCAGATTATCATGATTATTACTCAGAATCATGTGATTTGATTAATTTGTTCTTTTTCTTCAGGGTTTTGAATAAGCCGTTTTGTAATTTCAACGCACATGCACACATGACCCTTCGACTTGTTTCAAGAGAGAACAGTTCATCACACGCATGCTTAATCATAGCGGCGTACCAACGAAATCAAAGAAAATTTTTGTTTTGCAGTAGGCCTGAAAGGCTAAATGCAATTTTTTTTACGGCACTATGGTTAAATTACGATGTTTTGTACACGCTCTATAACTTATTTGCGAACAAAAGTTTCCATCTCCTTTTTGATTAGATGAAAATCGCAGAATGCGGATTCGGTTACCACATCCCCCCTAGACTTGTGTGCTTTCATCTGCTTTGTTTATATATCTCAAAAAAAAATCGTAAACCCTTGTTGTGCGCATGCACAGTTGAAAATACAAAAAGACTTATACACTCTGAGGCCTTATGAATAATTTGTTTCTATGGTTAATCTGAATTCTGACTATTCTAGATCAATATTGCTCATCATTATGCCAAGGTATGGTTCCAAGACCTACAGCCGTACATTACGTGCAGGCACAACCTCCAACACACAGTTCGACGAACTCTTCACTGATTCCAGTGTCCGTCGGCGACCAGTGACACGCTCCTCCCCGACCAAAGGTTCGCAAATGAAAACCTCCCCAATGAAGTCCCATAATGCAGTGGTGAAGCAGGTGACGTCAGGGAACGCTGTGCGGTCAGCACGTAATTCTGAGCAGCCAGACACACTCAGTAGCCCAAAGAGGAGACGATTGGACAGCGGTAACGATGACCCGTTTAGCTTCAGCAGTGATGATGACGCATCACGCTCACCAATCAAGAAAAACGATGTGCGGACAGTCACATCTCCCAATAAGTTATCTGGGCTGGATAATCAGCCAGCATTGAGACAAACACGGGCCAGCAGTGCCCAAGCTCTCGCTGATAGCAAGATACAGACCAGATCATCTGGGAACAGCAAGCCTATAACGTTGGCCGACCGAACGAAAAAGCAAACTTCTATCATGCGCTATGTCAAGAAACTCCCCCAAGGGGAAAATGATCGCTCGGCTACCAATCAACAAACCTCAGTTCTACCCAATTCAAACGATGCAATGAGAACGATAGCAGCCCCACCCACAACTAAATCTGCTAAGCCATACCCGAAGCCCACCTCCACAAACTCTGTGGAGTCCCTCTCTCAGGTCAGCAATTCCTCTGAGTCTAGCAGTGCCCTCTATAGTCTGAACAGCACACCAAACTCGGGAGGAATGTCGCCGACGCAAGTCCTTAATTCCATCACCTCCCAGCCCAGCTCTAGCGAAGAAGGCAGCATTTTGCTCCTATCTGACGGAGAGTACAATCAACCCACAGCGACAACGGCACAGAGTCAAGTTTCCCATCGGACGTCAAGCAAACCCTCACAAGCGTCCAAGCATGAACAAGTGAACTTAGCGTCAGTCGAAAACTCAAAAGACGAGTTTGATTTCACAGATAGCGATGAATCGGACGATGAGTACAGCCTGCAGCCTCCCAATGCAATCGCTGGTTTTAAGGACAAAAACCAAGATGCTAAGAAAATCTTCAACAGCCCCAAAAAGGTAAAGTCTCCTCCATCACCATATTTTAAGTTTCATGAAAATTCATTGCATTATTTGTAGTCGCATTTCACAGGGATTATCAGTTTGTTATTGAGAAGAAAACTACATTATATTGTATTCTGCATATAAAAGCAGATCAAGAAGCAAATTACTTCCTCTAAGGCCACTGCAGTCATTTACTATGAACAATTTATTCAGGTAAGTTGTTGTTAGAACACTTCCTCGGTACATTTAGCTTTTTAGTGTGCCAGTATTGAGGAAATTGTAGATGTTTCCCAACTTGTGATGCACACCCAAGAACAGTTCACCCTGTATAATATAAACGCAGAAAGAAAAGGGCAAACTTGTCAAATTGTAGAATATAAACATTGTATCTTTTGTTTTGATGTGGACTTTGCTTCTTCCATGCCTTATCTAGTCCCCGGCCAAGGCTCGCTACAACGCTAGGTCCTGGAATGCACCCACTAGTCCGGAGGAACCGGAGGTAAGTTGGTCATTGGTCAGTCACAACTCATACATATTTATGAGCTAATGCAGCTCCTCCATTGGTCGGTAGTCCATCGTTTCAAGGATGTAAACATATCTCCCTCTCAGATATCACAAAAATAATAATTTCAACACTTTGAAAATATTGACAATGTATATATGGAGTACATACAGTTGCCAAACTAAAATATTAGATTGTGTCTTGCCCTTCTATGTTAATTCCATTATGAAACGATGAATCGTTTCCACTGTAATATTTGGTCTTCGATTTTACTCCCCAACCTTTTTCTTGCTCAACAGAAAAACAACGTAGCAGAAAAGCCCAAATCGCAACCCTCCCTGAAAAAATGGCAGTCGGATCCTTCAAATAAGGCATCGACAAGTGGCTATAGCGGTCGGGGTGCTAGACCAGGGGTCAGAGGTGGTGCCAAGGGGTTGACCAGACAGGTCACCTACCCAACCAAGGTCAACCACTCCATCGTGACCTCGCTGAAGTGCGACAAACAGGAGAAAGGGGTAAGTGTAAAACAGGTCTGTTAAGAGGGTACATGTACTTGTGCACAGAGTCCATAGACTTGCGGAGAGCCGACAGTATTTCCATCATTTTAAAAAGATCATAACATTAATGGTATCTTTGACTTTTGTTATAGCTTTACACGGTGGTGCAACACGTCAAGCAAGCCACCCAATGTCAGGAGTCGGGAGAGAGTCAGCAGTATGCTGACGACATTGAGTATCTGAGAGATGGCTTAGAACCGATTGCCTCGACATCCACACGCTGTCTCAGTACCATCAGCCTGGTTGAGAAGTGTGCAGCTCCAGCCTTCCGTCTTCACCTGCGAGCTCACGGAACCATCAGCAAGCTGTTTGCTGCCCTCAGGGACGCTGATCACTTCCCGGTAAGCCATCATCAGAAAAAACACTCTCTAGGTGATATTATTATTTTGATAATGCACCTCCATGACAGTTTGAAAGAAACAAATGCAACTTTTTCCAGGTAAAAAAGTCCATGTTAGTAAGTGAATGTTTGATATATACGGATTTGCACTATGAATATTTGAAGCATATCACATGCCTACAGGCACAATTCCTGTCAGTTGCAATGTAATATTTTTAATATCACATGCCCACGGACGCAATTTCTGTCAGTAGCAACGTAATATTTCTTATCTCACATGACCCCAGACATAATTCCTATCGGTAGAAATTTAATTAGGGAACTTTTTTAGGATTTTGAAGTATCAACAATGTATCACAGCTTCAACAGCCTTGGGCTTCAGGGTTAATAGTTTCTGAAGAGGTAATAACTTGACAACCTTAAACCCAGGAATTTTATTGAGAGAATATTTTGGTTGACAGAGCCTAGCCCTATGCACCTCCGGTCTGATGTACATGCTGAGCCGTGATCGTCTCAACATGGACTTGGACCGTGACTCCCTTGACCTGCTGGTGCGGCTGCTCAGTGTAGAATCAGAGATGACGTCCGATCAGTGGACCGAGACCAAGAAACAGGACTACGATCGCACTAAGGAGAAACTGAGGAGTATCCTAGAAGAGGTTCCTAACACTTGCAGTATGGCTAAGGATTTGGACTTGGACGGTCTGTCGGTAAGATCTTACTGTCAAAAAAATGTGGTTATACAAAACACATTAAGAAAGCAAGTAAGCTACGTCACATTAGCAACATTCCGTGATGGTTATAAAATTGTTGCGATTACTTGTCGTACTTGAAGTTACGCCAAAAAAACTGTCCTACGTATGAATCAGTCTGCAAGCTATACGTGAAAGGTACTAGTAAGTCCCCATTTTTTGTGTTTCGTGTCATGTAATGTTCAAAGAAATATTGAGAAAATAATCTCAAAATAAATTTATTTGCCTGTTACAGAGTGAATATTTAGCCATGGAATCCTTACTGTCTCTGACATCACGCCGAGCTGGTGAATGGTTCAAAGAGGAACTTCGTCAAGTTGGCGGGCTGGACCACATAGCAGACACAGGTAAGCTGAACAAACACTGTCGAATCAGGCATCATGACATAACTTTACCTAGACATGAACCCAGGACCTCTGGAGTGACGCTCCATTATTCAACCAACTGAGCTAACCAGCCCTATCCAGCCCTGTTAAATGATAGTCTAAGTAATTTTTTTTGTCTTTCCATCTGATCGGGTGGCTTGCAATTAGGACATCAAGCCCCATGTAAAGTAACAGTGGCTAGGCTGTACAAAATCCACCAAACACTGTAAACCACATGTATGATTTTGGCAGACATAGTGTAGTCAAAGATAATGACTGGATCATTTTAATGATCGGGAATGTGTTTGTCATTCCAGTGATAGGAGTAGGAGAGAAGCTTGCAACCTTGACCCCAGGCACTGACCCTGCCAACTTGGAGCTGATTGAGAGACTCAGTGGCTGTCTGCGCGTCCTGGAGAATGTGACATTCCTGAACACTGAGAATCAACAGTATCTCCTAGAACTCAACGACTGTAGCTTAGTCAAGGCCTTCGCTAGGTAACCTCTCACTCTAAACAACAACAGTTTTTACATTCCTTGTTTTATCCTCAAGTACACTTATAATAATAATAATAACAGGTTCTTATATAGCACTTTAAACTAAGATCAAAGCACTTTACATTATTATTACCCCTAATCATTGGGCCAATTAAACATTCCAAATACCATCTCAGCTCCCTGGGGAGTTTGCAGCTCGATGCAGCCTGTTAGGCGCAAGGAAGCTAATTCAATCACAATAACCATCACGGCCCTCATAGGTACCCATTTACTCCTGGGTGGAGAGAAGCACTTCACAATTTTTCTCAAGTAATGGCCTAAGTTTATTGCATTGACATCCAATATTATAACAGGGGTGAGCAGCCATGCACTCGAGGGCACGCATGATAACACTAGCAAACCTGTGACAAGGAATGAGTGCCCACTGCTAACGTCTGATACACTCTCCATCTCTTTGCTTGATAGCTTTTACATCTGTCACTGTGGAGGACATTGCACTCCAGCAAGTTAAGCTGTGGTGTAGCGTTCTTTATAAACTGCTGACAACCATTTCTGAGCTGCTACTGTAACCTGTACCTTAGAATAATGCTTACAAGAATGACATGATCTGTCTGTTTTTTTTCTCCAGTATGTTACCTTTGTGTGCTCAGCGTGTCGAGAGTTGCCGTGATCAAGAGAGAACGTTACGCCTTGGTAAAGAGAAGACACCCGGCGGTAAGATGAGACTGTGTCTGCTGGCACTGCTGCGAGTTCTGCTGAACATCACCCATGATAATGGTGAGAAGAAATAATACAATTGTCAGTATAAGCAATTGCCATTTCTGAAACTTTGTCATTGCAGCTTTGGCTCTGGTCTCCAGCCAAATGCCAGAGGTGAAGTATTTCAAACATGGCCACAATTTGAAGCATTGATATCTCAAGTTTAATCATTTTAAGGCTTGATTATACTTCAGCAAAAAGTGGAAGTGAAGCAAATTTCATGTCATCAACAGTTTAAATTTCATTGCGACATTTGTTGGATCCCAACAAATTTGTTTATGGATGGACTGCCTTTTAGTATCAGAACATGATATGATTGCTTTTCAAATTTTGTTTTTATTTACAGAATGGGGAAGCATGAAAGTAGGGGAGCAATCTGGTATGATCAGCAACACCTTGTTCTGTGTGCTTCAAGTGGCGCAACACATCGCCCACGACCAACGCTTTGATCTACTGGTGCTGGTAAGTCAAAGACGTCACCACTATTTATGTCTGCAACAGCACAAATTTCATGGGATAATGAACAAAGTGTATCACATGGATCACTAAAACAACACAATCATCGCTTGTAAATAACAAAACAACTTTCAAGAGTGACACAAACAGCCCCCTCTGTTGGACAACCTTGATTAAGTTCAATTGAAATTTCTGGTAAAATATTTTGTGAGTTGGTAGAGCTCTGTTGCTCTATCACATAAAGATGGTTCAAATCAAGCTTTTTTTCTTCAAACAGAGTCTTGGTGTTCTCATCAACCTTGTCGAGCATTGCCCAGGCAACGCTAAGATCCTGACCAACACGATGACCAGCTACTCCTACGACGCTCAGAAAGACGAGAAGGATAAATTTACAAATAGGGAGGAGGTTTGCTCGTTAGAAGCACTCACACAGGTGAGCATTTGTGTGTCCCTGGGCATGACACTTTATCATAAGTTGCTTCTTCCTACCCAGGGATGTATGGGTACTTATACTGGGCCCAATTTCATAGAGCTGCTTAAGCAGAAAATTTGCTTAAGCACGAAAAAACATTGCTTAGTAAAATTAGGTTACCGGCCAAAACTCCATGTGATGTACATGGCTTGTGACTGGTATTTAGCTGTTGTTTACTTAGCATAACAATCGCATAGAGTTTTTGCCGGTAACCTGATTTTATTAAGCAAGACTTTTTTGTGCTTAAGCAAATTTGGTGCTTAAGCAGCTCTATGAAATTGGCCTCAGATCTTTTTGTATCTAAATGGCATTTGGGAGCTATAATTCTCTCCAGGAAAGTGATGTAGTCATAGGCATGTTCTAATGTTCTATATATGTTAAGGATATAATGCCCTGAGGGCCAATATTGGTGGATGTGCACACTGTATACTAATAATCATTACTTTATTTATACAGCTGTTTATGCAGCGGTATCGTGCAGCATCTCGCGCCGAGCGAGAGCCAGAACCAGGCGAGGAACCTCATGAAGATGAGGATGAGGATTACAGTGAGGCTCAAGCTGGTCTGGAATGGGTGGAGATTGAAACCTCAGGGACAGGAGGTCCCAATGACCTCACAGAGGAAGAGATCAAACGGTCCGTCAGTAAAGGTAGGTCTTGAAATATCAATAGGAAGATACAACCTCATCCAGTTATTTGACATGAGGTTGTAACTGACCCTAAGTGGACAATGATCACCTCAAAGGAAGTTTAGGATCTCACATGAGGGAGAGATCTAATGGTCTGTCAGTAAAAGTAGGTCTGACAGTGTCTGTGGATAGGTAAAACCTCATCATTGTAGCAGAGATAGTAACTGCCCAACAGTAAAATAATGACAACCTCAGTGGTGATACCAGAACCTCGCAGAAGGAACCTCATTGTGGCATTTCAGATTTGAACAAGAGTGAAGTAAGCAGCATTTTTTTCTGAAGACATATCAGTTTCCTCTTGGTATAAAACTAACTTAAAGTAGAAGCAAATTGTGAGTGAACAAAGCTGGCAAAGGAAAAAAAACCTAGCAGGGAAATTTGCCTGAGGTAGTGCAAACCTCACAAGAATACGTAGGACCTCACAGGAAAATTACCTCACAGATGACAGTTGAAAAAAAAACCTAGCAGGGAAATTTGCCTGAGGTAGTGCTAACCTTACAAGAATGCGTAGGACCTCACAAGAAAAATTAACCTCACAGATGACAGTTGAACACCAATGAAAAATCCCACAGTTTTAGATAGGTGTAGCATGAATTATAGGTGCTCAGTGTTTGAGGAAACCATTGTATAAAAAAATACTTGAAATATCCAGCACCAGGTTTTTTTCTTAAAGGAGGGACATTTTTTAATTGTTACTCTTTTCATTTCCTTGTGACAGTGCTGCACACAGCAGGTAAACACATGGAGGACAGCATTGTAGCTTCCTACACTGCACTGCTCATTGGATGTCTGGTCAAGGATAATCACGTAAGTCATAAACTCTCCATGAAGTTCAACCCTTCAGGGCCCTTTTTCACAAAGGTGTAACATGTCCACCTGTTGATTGATTATCTCCCTTGTGAATGTAATTTGCTTATGTAATGACTTTTGATGCATTGGATGACATTCACAGATGAACGTTACTCGCGTGCGTAGCTTCCTACCAGACGGGGATTTCAACTGCATGGTACAAATGCTACAGAAGTTCCTGTCCTTTATTGAATTGACGGTAAGTTCCTTTACAGCAGAAAGCAACAACAAAATTCAGTAGACATTTTGTCTTCAAAGTTCTTACCAAAATGTGATTTAAAGTACTAAATCTTTGCATCCTAATTCATATTTGTCTAGTGTTATCAGTCAAAGGGTCATTTAATGTCTAATCTGACATTAGATCATCTAAGATGCTTAAGGTCAAACAATTGTCAGAGGTAAAAGAAAGGTCAAGCAAATGTCAAATGTCAAGCAAATGTCAAAGGTTAAGTAAATGTCAAATGTCAAACAAAATTCAAAGAAATGTCAAACCTGTTCTTATTTGTTTAAACATAATTCTTGTGTTCTTACTTAACTAAAGTTTCTACATTTTTTTCTAATTTATTTGCCCTCAGAATGCCGCCGGCAACACCGGCAGTAAATCCATATCCAAGATTATTGAGGTATTAGATCACCTTTAGCTGAGTGGTACAGTCCAGCAGAGTGTACAGTTGAATCATGGACTCTTCGATAGGACATCAACAACAGGGGTGTGGGAAATAGCATGACCAAACTGAAGGGAAGTTCACCTATTACTGTATGTAAATGTTCCGCCATAAAGACACACATTTGCAAAATTCAAAATTCATAGACACTTTTTGCTTTAACTGTACAATATCGGTCACACGTCATTGAAACTCAGTTATGTTGCATTTAAGCAGCCAAGTGGGTCGTTTCTAAGAGGTTGCAATGCATGCTGGGAAATCTGCCGGAGAACTCATTTCACTGTTTAGTCTTCTGCCACTGTGTACATCTGTCCATAATTCATTTTTATGAAGGCATAACAGTTTGGCATTCATTGTGAAGGAAATTTGCATCCCGTGCTAACGTCCTGGTGCATGTTGACCACAAGAGGGCGCTTTCGTGGTTACATCATCCAGAACCGAAGGGGACACGAAGCTCTGATGTCACTTTGCAGTGCTGTCAAGTGTTTGCATTGCTTTGGCCACATTGGCCAAACTGAGCATACCCTGACATAGAATGGTTTGACCCAGGCAAGCATTCCTTGTAGTGTAATCCCGGACCCTGGCACTAGCAACGCAGGGTTATAATATCTCTGTGGAGGGGGAGTGTGTCCATTTTATAATGGCTCCAAAAGGTTGCATTTCTCTTTCCTTATAGGTGAGCTATCTATTTTTGTAAATTAGCTTGAATGTGGATAATTTAAACAGAAGTGTATCGTTCATTGTACATATAATTCATGGTAATAGGCCCATATTTTATGAAAACATTTTGTCTTCTTTCATGGGTGAACTGACTTTTATGTGTCGGGGGAATAATTCGTAATAACTCTCACTATTATCAATTATCAATATATTTTAAATCATTGATTGGAAATAAGTCTCTCTTTTTTGTTACATTTGTTTCATTTTGAATAAAACATTGTTTTTGTGTTTTGGGAAAATTGTTGGACATGCACAAAAATCAGGCAAAATGAGGATTTTCTCTGATAGAGTTTCCCCATCTCTGTCATGTTTATTGATGGCACTGCTTTATATTTTTTGGAAACTTTGATTGCATAAAAGTAATTTTGGGTGGGTTTAAGGTGAATTTCTTTGTTTTTGACATGTAAATGTTGATTATTAATTATACTCGTTGTGACCTATAATGATCCATTTATTTTTTTCGTGTACATTTTAATTATTTTAAATAATGTTGTCTTGCAATTGTGGATTGAAGTTGTTTAAATGCGTAAGCAAAGAGTTTCGTCACAATTTTTTTTTTTTTAAGATATCTTTTAATTTGGCCCACTAATCATGATTATGTTGTAGTTAAATGACAAACTTCTAAATTTATATGTGTAGGTTGTGGTTTGGAATCCTAAACAATGTCAGTTAACACCATCAATTTGTTAACTTTCAAACTGACCACCTTTTAGTCCTCAAAGTAATGTTCGTATGTTACAATTGGATGACAACAATTTGAAATCAGGCGACAAAATTTGTGCAAAACGGGATAATATTGGACCTTATTTTGTTTTGAAAAATTGTAAATACAATGGGCTACTCTATTTATGATCAAATATGTGGTTCCATTTTCTGGCTAAATTTAAAAATGGATTTAAAATCCCATTTTGTATCAAACACATAAATTTTCCGTAATTTGATGCCATGATTTCTCATTCTAATTTGGGGGAAAACATGAACGTATTTGGTCTTTTTTCCTTCAAGAAAGGGTTTATAACTTACGAGTTGGTTGTATGTACAGTTAGTAAGGTTTAGGGTTCAACCAGTTTAGATATTAATTTGTGAAACTATGAATTTTTGGAACAAAAGTTGGTGGTGTAATTGTTAATGTATAGATAAACCCTTGTTGTAAATGTAACTTGGAGAGAGGACTAAAAAGGGCGATTCCAGATGAATAAAGTAACAGAATCATAGGAGTTCAACATTTGCTGTCTCGATGCCTTTTCAGATTTTTTTTTCAGAGTTGTCGGTCCTGTTTGTCTAGTTAGCTAAATTAGACAGTTTTGTTGGGGTATTACACTGGAACAATTCTTTTATTATGAGGACAAAATTCATCAACGTGCAAATTTCCTTTCATCAAGAACATATTTTTAGCCATCAAAAGGAAACCCTGATTAATGTGGAAAAGAAGTGATCAAAATTTACTTCAAAGAAACCACATAGGGACACTGACTAGGTGCATTATAGCTATTTTAAGTTTGAACAAGAAATCAACTGGAACGGGTTTGAACCTGTGACCTTCGAATTGCCGTTCCGGTGCTCTAAACACCAGAATGACAATGCGGGGGTCGCAGGTTCAAACCCCGCTCCAGTCAATTTCTTTGTTCAACCTTAAAATAATAATTTCATATATTTTCTCTTTCCCATAATGCTACATTTTCTACAAAAAATTCACCATGCTTGCTTAATAACGATGGATTTGGAAAAAATAGTAGAATCAGTCTATATAATATTTGATAAAATAGTTTATACCAAAAAGAAGAAAACTGTCTTCTTCGTTTTTTTAAATCCTAAGCCAAACTTCTGGACATCGATACCCAGCCACTGCGAGAGTACTTGCTTGCAGCCAACTCCCCCACGCGCTGACATGACGCGCATCGCATGTGGTTTAACTGCCCTATTACGTAATACTTGAATAACAATACAGTTATATGTAAATCGCGAAGGTTACTATGTTCATTGAAGCTCCATCAAATGATCAAAACGTCATATTTAGACTAACCATAGACTAACCGGGAGTGAATATCTTCAGAAATTATTATTTTGTATGAGTATCTAGAAAAAATACGCAGACAATTTGGGATGCGTAAAATTGTTCATGAATAATTGATTAATTTGGGAGATTGGAAAAGTACAACACGGTGACGTCACGAAATTCACCTTTGACACCGTTCTCCTGCACTCGACTCGTGACGCGAGGCCTGACAAACATAACATCGTCACAGCGAATTCTGGCCTGGTTCGGCGCCAAATCCATGCATTTTGCCCCAAATTTCAGCTGCTAGAGTAACTTGAAGGACCCAGGAACCATGTCAGGCCCGCCACCGTCGCGTCAGATGAGCGGAACCAAGGAAATTCCGACCAGGAAAGTGCTGTTGAACGACCCGAACCAGCTGCCGTCGGACTACAGCACCACGCCAGGCGGGACAATGTTTGGAACAACCCCCGGAGGTAAAAAAAAAATAAATAGCGAATCAAAACAAACTTTTCCAATCCATTATTTGTCCTTCAAATAAACACATATTCAACCGTGTGCTCCAAAACTTGCAAGATACATTGTAAGATCTGTAATTTTGCGTGTTAATGTCATATTTGTAAAACATTTTTTTCAAGCATTTGAACGATAAAGATTGGGCAAGTGTGTGGCCCCTGACATTGTTTACATTATGCGTGGACTGTTTTGAATGATGAAATCACACGGCCAATTCATAGAGCGCACAAAAAAGTGCGTAGAACTTAGTTACAAGGTAAACACACAATGCATGTTATTGTTATTCAGGGATTTTCATGTAATAGTGATAGGAGTTATAACTTAAATAATTTCAGACCAATAAGTTTTTTCATGTTTGTTGATGCATTTGCAATTTGATTTGAGTGAAATGATGAAATTTTTCAAATCAAATGTTAATCTAACTTCATTAAATTTAAGAGGATAAAGATGCAGTATTCTGATACAATGCTTTCAGTTATATTGGGAATCATTTTCCAAAACTAACCCAAAATTCTAAAAATCCTGTCAAACTCCACCAGCTGTTTTTCCAGTATTCAACATTTTGATCGACTACAAACTGCAGCCAAGTCAATACGTAGTATGTTTACATGTCCCAATGTTGTTTCACAATTCAGCCCTAACCCTGCTAAATGCAACCAAACGCAACAAAGTAAACAGTTGTTGCATACTGTATTAGCAGCCAACTCAAGCCCCCGTGCTTGTTGCATCTTGTTGCATTTAGCAGGGTAACTTCTATTACTAATACTAGTGCCAAGGCAATACAACATAATCCACTGATTTGGTTGCATTTTTTTTTTGATTTGGTTGCATGTTTTTTTATGCCAAGGCTAGTAGTATACATGTACACTGGGTTCACTGCACAATGCAACAGAATCCACTGAAGATTGTAATTTGTTGCAGTTAGCAGGGTTCTATTTCAGGCAAGTTGCATTTTGTTGCATTTGGCAGGGTGCCTAGAGAAAACTTGTTGGGGTTTATAGGCATTATTGTGCTATTTTATGTGTAGTGTGTGATTTTATTTTGAGGATTTGGTTTGCCTCACTGTATGTACAAATGTTGGGAAGCTCAAGGTTAATCGTCCATATCAATGTTGACCTTTACTTCACACAAATGCAGAATTTGGCAACTTTCCAAAAAACACCAAGCCCCACCCATCCTCTCTGCATACAATAGTGGCATGGATACAAGTATTACTCAATTACCTTCACAGTTTTAAACAAAAAGGTTAAAAATTTTAGAGGTATGTGCACAAGACAATTATATTACTGTGAGCAGAGACAAAAACATATATGTCACCAATCAGAAATACCAGGCAATAACTGTGTAAATATTCTGCCCTGCACAGTGGTCATAATTTCTAAAGATTAACACAAAAACTTTATTCAGGGTAGTGAATACCTGAAGGACTGTTCATATGCATACAATGAATTCCTCATTGTTTCATAGCTATGCAGTAAAGTCCAATGCATTGTTGACAGATCAAAGTCTACAGAAATTATTACTACAGATTTGAGAATTTTTATCAGTCGATGAAAGTGGCTGATGAGTCACTTTGATGCCGTAAATTTGATGCAAATTAACAACGTAGTAGAATTGCATAAATGCAGGCAAACTTTGCATATTTTGACTCGGCACGTTACTGATACTGAATAATAATAACAAAAGCTATTTCAATCAAGACTAAATATGCATTCATATAGTCATATTGTGTAATGTTTATGTGAAGCTAAACTGGATTGAACACACTGTATGCCATTTACAATGTATCTTAACTTGGGTCTCATGATTAAACCATACAGCGCCCTCTATAGGTCATGCACAGAGCGTGCTCTGCCTTACAAAGTGCAACCAATCAGATGTGACCTTCAGTAACCTGAGCTACAGACCTAACCTTGATAACCCAAACAAAAGGCTGAGTCATACTCCACATGGTGACTTCCCATAGATTGTGTCATTGTCCAGGGCCCTGGATAACTAGTCATTGTGGTAAATTTGTGACCCGCTCCGCAAAAATGAGTCTGTTGTGGCAAAACTGACATTTTGAGTTAACTACATTAATAAAATGGGAATGAAATAAGCTTTCATTTGGTATATCATGGACCTCTCTAGGACATTTGGTTGCATTGTTGTGCTTGTTTCATTTTGTAAAGTTTTTGCAAAGCTAGAAGTGTCTCAATGGAGAAAAAGGGCTTTGAAAAATGACGAATACACTGTAACTAACCAAGAAAAGCACCAAAGATTCATAATTTTCTTCTTTTTCTTAAAATATTTACATTTTTGTGTAAGATATTTGAACTCAAACTATCAAACAACCAAAATAAAACAAAAACAAAAAATCCAAATTTTGAGCAAATTTTTACTGTTTCCATTTCTAAATGGCAAAAGCTTGAATTCAAATGTGACATCAGACTCATTTTTGCAGAGCGGGTCACATTTATGACAGAAAGATATATGATAAGTTACATGTACAATGAAAGGACAAAGACAGTACTTAAAGGTAATACTAATAGGCCTATACTACATTTGCAAACATAAAAAAAACTAAACTACCAAATTATTAGGCCTATGAAATTCCTTACTGGACTGTAACAGTGTAAGTGAATAATACTAGTCTCAAGCATCCTGTGAAATCATGGCATTTGGCATTCCTTCACTTTCAAGAAAAGTGGAATTTGTTGATCAATTTCCAACGATGGTTGGCCAACAATCGTTGGGAAAAAACCCAGACTTTTTCAAATACTGCCCCCAAGTTACCAAATTTAGTTAGTCCACATTTTGTTTGCAATCGGTTACACATCCGTGACCGGGTGCAAGCCAGCTATAGTCTGGTTCCCTGACCTGACAATTTCCCAACGTCTATTGCTCAGTTTCTTCTCAAGTAGGGTCAGGGAAACCAGACTACAAGAACATCATGATTTTCTTGGTTTTCCAGTGTCTACGAACACAGAACTTTAAACAGGTCAGTGTGACAATATTTGCCATAAAATACCGCTTGAGCCCTAAATCCATCCACTCATGAAAAAAACAGCAAAAGCAAATTTTGTATAATAAGGAAGAGGATGGTATTTATAAAACCTATCAGTCAAAACCTGCTACATCTCAAGAGTGAGATTTGGTGAATTTCTGAGAGTTTTGTTACACAGGTCTCAGCTCATAAATAACTTGTTACTGACCCTTTCACTGATGAATTGGTTCTTGTAGGCACACGTATCATCTATGAGCGGCAGTTTCTGATGAACCTACGGGATTCGCCTCTAGCCAGGACACCCCCAGCTAACCTTCCCATCATCCCTGGTGTTACGGTGAAAGCCGACAAGGCCGTCAAGACCAACGGTCAGGTGGCTTGCAGTGCAAACAGCAAAGAGGGAGTGACTAACGGTAAGTTGTCTTCAGTTGCAGAGGGGTGTTGGTTCGAATGCATGATACTCAGTGTTCCACAGCAAAAGACTTTATTCTCTTCATCCAATGTTTTTTAAACTGAATAATGGTCGGTGGGTCTCATCTTACAACTTTGTGCTTGTGTGCAGTTGCAGAGTGTGGATTTAGGTAGGTTCCAGCCCTTAGGTGCTTAGTGTCCCTCAGCAAGAGACTTTACAGTAATTCTCTCCACATGGTCTGCTTGAAAAATTGAATGCGAATGAACACAAAATCACTTGGAAACACTTTTTTGCATATTTCTAAAATGCAATCTACGACTTGACCTGAGCTAGTTGAGTAAAATTAAATAATAATTTTTTTTTTGGCACCATGCTGAAATTTGATATTTTCCACAATGTCTTTCTTTTCATTGTTAGATAATGCTGAGGAGCCTCAGTTTGAGATGGACATCTGAGCAAAGGAGCAGGCAGCATGCATTCATCAGGTAGTCTACCGCCCTCGTGTGGGGGAAATAATCACACAGGGGGAATGTTAGGGTTTGGGCATTATCAAAGAAAACACCACTCCAATCGAGGGACTTTAGAAAATGGGGAAACAACCGGTGCAATAACGCAGTGTCGTCCAAAGTTGCTTCAGAAAAGACAGAAAGTTTATCAAGTCGGTGAATGCGTCAGTGTAGAAAAATTTGAGCGACTCAATGTTTGTGTTTGTGCGTGTTGAATTGTGTCGATCCGTCAGCACCAATGATTCTTTTTGGAATGATAGATGCCCTAGACAGGCCAAAAGACTGGATTTTCTTTTATAAATGATTCAGTTGAGCGCCCAGTTGAGTGACATTTGTGTTATGGATGCTGTTTCCATGGTAACTTCAACACGGTGCTTGGTTTTACGGACACGTTTCTCTAGTTTATTGCATCCTGATTATCTTCTCCAACTTGTTGCGATGACACTTCAGCCAGGGACAGAAATATAATCAGCTTTTGCAACGACAGAGTTGAACTCAGAACTATGGATAGAATTGCAAAATGTTTCTGTGATTGTCATTTCTCTACTCCACCTTGAAAACAGGAGCAGACCTTTTCATCCTATAAATGCAGAAGGTTAATACTGAATTATTTGAGGTCTTTGCAACTTTGTTATTCAGTTTCAATATTTAGCCCGCCTGTGGGCGACTGAGTAGAGTTTCAGTATTTCCATAGAAATATATTACATGGTCCTCTCAACATTAATTTATTCCAAAACCTATGCATGGCATACAATGTATAGGTCAATTCGTATGTTCATTTTCACTTTTGTGAACAAAAATAATTGCCTGCTCTATCAAAATGAGGATTCAGGGAAATATTGTCAAAATATGTGATTTCTTTTAGCGATGGATTCTGTATTGAACGACATTCTGACAAGATTTGTAAAAACTGTCAATTTGATTTTGTTCTATTGACTTAAGTTTGCATTTCAACAAACAACTTTTGATCATAATTTTGTAACCTTTTCGATACACATTTCAAACTGCGAACTAAAAAACAATTTATATAAAAAATGGTATCTTCTTGCAAGTTGTTCCTTATTTTGATAGAGCAATTTGAATATTCCTAACCACATATATACACGGGTCCTACACTATGAAATAACATGACTTAAAGTTTTCTTATTTGCCCAAAAACTGAAGTACCACTCTGGATAAGTTGGTTTTGTTTTAACCATCTATAGAATTCAAAATTTCCTTTTGAATCAACATATGGCATGACTCCAATAAATCCTAGATTTGAATTCAAAAGGTTGAACTACATCAGGGATATTTGGATTTTTAAAAATATATTAGGATGTTTATCGGAAGTTTGATGGTTACTTTGACTTTCAATCAAGATATAGAGCCCATGTTTCACTGACCAAATACATTTCTTCCTTATTACAAAAGGGACTTCAAAATACAACTTCTCAGTTTTGCATTATATATCTGTCCATTTTTGCAAAAGCATGGACTTTATATCTTAAAGACATCCTTCAAAGTTCCCTTGTATGCCGTGATAAACCTTACTATAGCTTAACGCATTAAGCCATTTGCAGTGGCATAATGTACTCTACACACAAACTGTAGCTGGCCATAGCCACAACTGACTAGCCACTGCAACTGGCTTAACACATTATCAGAAAAAGTACATATAATGTGTCACTAACCCAATTATATACATGTATGGTCACATGACTAAACAATCATGAATATACTAATGAAACTAAATTAATTTATTTTTCTTCATTGTAAAAACTTGCAACTGTTCAATTTCTTCATAAGAGAAGTAAGCTTCTTTTTTTTGTCCTCGAACTCAGTAAAAAAAATTAAGTCAGGCAAGTAAGTTTTTTTCCTCTCGAAAAACAATGTTCCAGGAAAAAAAATATGCACAATTAAAATTCTGAAGGTATAAACTGATGTACATAGGAGTTTTTAATTTGCTTTTCAATCCATTTTTCTCTTGAATTTTTTTTTCACCTCAGTGTGTGCCCCGTATAAAAATAAATAACGGGCACAAATGTTGCCTACTTTCAACATAGTAAAATATTTCATATTTTAGAAATTCAGTTTTGGGGTGGGGATAGTAATGTCATTTGTCAGATTACATTTCTCTCTTTTTTTTTAAGGTAAAAAATCCAGAGAAGAAAATGTTATATTTTTTCCACTTCAGGGTCCCCAAATTCTGTGGTTCATTTCATTTTTTTTGGGCAGCTCTACAGTATGTATCTAGCAGTTGGATCAGGGTTCAGTTTAGTATTGTTCCTTACAAAATCCAAGGGGGATGGTAATTTTAAAATATGCAAGGTTTATTCCTAAAACTCTTTCAAAATCTCTTTGAACTGTGAGTCTGATTTGTGTCAATATTTGATTCAGATGACCACAGAATCATATATATTCATGAACCCTATCTGTGTCAAACTCGTGAATATTATTTGACAGATTATGTTGTCGTCTGTTGGTAAATATGCCCATAATGTCGACCAATCAGAAAATGGAGCCAGCTCATGAATATGTATTTGATGGCATGCCTACCAAGTTATGGCAGCTCAGACTGTGTCATAATGATTTTCTTTTGGGGAAAAAAGACACAAAGCACACCATTTTTACTTCTAAATTTCATTTTGCCAATTGTCATGAGTGACTGGTATACATACATACCTACAGTATTTACTTTAAAAATGTAATAGACCGACCCGTTAGGCTCCGCCCACTGCGCACGTGGGCAATAATGTATCCCCAATAATGCCACACTGCATGTCGGACTTAGCTCACGGCTGTGATTGGTCAAAATATAGTTGGGCGGGGTATAGTGGATCGGTCTATTATTTGGCGGGAAATAGGAAAAAATGAAGTTCCATGAATTAATGAATAAACTTGATGCAATGTGCTCTATAGTCAAACATGATGGATTTGGCAATGGAAAGTGCACATCCAACAAATCTACTGAACATTATATATCGCTTAAGCAAAAATATCAGTTACTAGCCAATATTGTGCTATGTAAGTTTATTTTTGTTGTGTTTAAGCCGGTTTTCTAATTGGTAATGGCACCTGGGACATGAAAAGAAGTATTAAAACAAAAACTCGACCCGAATGAGGTACAGAACCGGTGTATTCGTCATAATCCTAATTTTGAAAATGTGAAGCTTGAAGGTTATTCTTAATTCTAAATGTACTTGAGTTGAAATATATTATTGACCGCGGCCCACGGCGCTCATTTGGCGCGGACGTTCAATATTTTATTTGTTTTCGTTATGACAACTTTAGGTCTTGTATTTACTTTTCAGAAGATTCTGAAAAGTTATCAGGCCCCAGCTGTCACTCCACAGTTGCGATGTAAGCCTGTTATGATTCTTGTAAATTTCGCCGCAGGAATCGCGAAATTTTTCATCCCGTAAAAAGGAATTGGACGATTTTGGAAATAGGGAAACATTTTTTTCAGTTTGGTTTAAACTTAATAATAGTCGCTTGGCTTTTTAACCTAAAGTGTTGTGCAGGCCTACCTATAAAATTAAGTTCTAAACTTAAGGGTAGTTGTATTCCACTCTAGCTGTGAATTTACCTGCCTTTCAATTTTTGCCGATCATTTTTGGTGACACTTTATTAAATAATTTTGTGATGTGCCGATGTACTTTTGTTCTCAATCGGCTCTGTAGGGCGCCACCATTACAGCGCCTCGTCAGTCTTTAAATTACCGCATAACCAATAGAGGGCGCACTGTTAATGACGTGCAGCGCGTGCGCGATGCATGCGTAATGCTTTTCCACCTACCGCCTACAAATTTAGCACAATTATATTTTGAAAATTCATTTGGGATTTCTAACTTACCAAATTTATTTAAACCGTTCAAATATTTGATAACGAATACCCATCTTTTGTGAACAAAGGAATATATTCTTATAAATTCATTTTCGGGCATGCCAGCCTCCTTAGCTCAGTGGTTAGAGCACTGGTCTTGTAAACCAGGGGTCGTGAGTTCAAATCTCACAGGGGGCTATTATTTTTTTTCTTTTGATCTTTGTTTTAAATTTTGGATGGTAAATAGTTGACAGATTTTAATGTTACCATAACATGGTATTTTGTTATTTTCTTTCCCTCTTTTTTTTGTTAAATACATGTGCATTGCACACCATTTTATGTTGAGTATCGATTAGAAAACCATTTCGTGACATAGAATATAGAGGTATTGATTACAATAAAAAATACTGCAAACTCTGACTTTTTAAAGCAATGGCAGTGAATTTTTTTAAACGGCATACAGTAAATGTCAGTATCTTACCATGGAGGAAGGAACACTTACCAAATTGTTTCAATTATTAATGTTTTATCAAGATGTAAATAACAGAAATCGATATCACATATTTCCGATATCGATAATCGTCGATAACCATTTCTGCCGTGTTTTCTCACTGCGCATGTTGTATGCGACCGCATGATATAATGAAGCCAACATCCGGGCTTTTCCCTCTAAAATCCAGTATGGCGGGCGACGTGTAGTCCAAAAGTGAATAATTACCGTCAAAAGACACGAGAAATTTTCTATATTCTACTGTTAATGCTACATTAGACATTTCTTGGGGACTACTCATGTAACTCGACTATCAGAAAATGCAGAATGGTGGGCAAAAGAAGGTCGCAGTCGTCCGAAAAGATGGGAAAATTAGCGAGAGTCCGAAGGCAGCCGTGACTGCGTTGGAGAGGTTGGACAAGGCGCAGCTGCTTGCGTTCCAGGCTCAAGACTTAATTTCCGATTTGTCTGGAAGTGAAGAAGGAGAAGTGTCAGAAGTAAGTATTTCAGCGAAGGAGCTTGCAATTCATTTACCTCTCTGTCTTTTTTCCCCCTTCTCTTTCCTTTTACTCCAAGCAAAAAGTATAAATAAATTCACAAACCAGTTAGGTTAACATGGTCATGATGGTTAACTGGTTAACAATGGTTAAGTTGCCCAATCATGCCAATTGATTTGAACTGGCATTTGGCAATGACTGGCCGGCCAACAATGAAAACATTCATGAACAGATTTGAGTTTATGAAAATGAGAAAGTATTCAGAAGTACATGTAGGACGAACTTTAGGGCCTAGTATTAGGTTTAGTTAAGGAAGAAGTTTTTGACTAATTTCAAATTCAAGCAACATAATTTATTATTTAGGGGCCTAATTTTTAGCACGAAAGTTGGGTCACCAAAAAAATTAAGAAATTTGATGATCATGATGATTGATGTTGATCATGTTTTTTTGGTGTGCTTGAAAGTTATACGCCTATCAATTGTTTGAGGTTCAATGAATGGGGTTCAGTTACATTGTTGGATTTAGCATGATCATGATGTCAGCATGATATCACTTCCAGTTACTGACCCTAACGATGACCTAGCGAGTAGCGGTGGGTGAAAACAAAGCTCGCCACCATTTTGACATTGTGTGTTTGCGTGCTAAAGCTCCTCTGGTTGCTATGGCGTGCCATTTTCACCCAAGTGTGGATAGCAATTCGCCACTTCGGTCAAAGTACCTGGATGTTTGGATCTGAGAATAGACAGAAAATGTTGCCATCTAGCAAACACAACATATCACAATAAATTGGAGCATAATCAGAATAATGCAGCTAATTTAATCGACATGCCTACATTTCTAGAGCTTTTGGGTGAGAGGAACACATTTGGGCATGGCCAAAATTACACTCAAGTGTCCTTTAACCCTAACTTCCTAGCCATTACGTTGGGATAAAGAACTGAGCACTACAAAATTCTATGAGAGTTGTGCATACTCCTAGACAGCTTAATACCCTGCAAAATTGTTTGCTTCTACAAAACACCAACTAAGTACAAAAACGTCCATCACAACCAAGCCATTTCCCACAGAACCACTGCACAGTTTGCCCCTAAACTCCGTACTTACTCCGTACGTACCTGCACTGGTACGCATGCGCATACTATCATTCCGCTCCTACCGTACCACTCCGTGGAGCATCATAGTTCTAGGAGTACATGTAAGTTGTGCACACTTATAGATGCTGAAGTATTTCAAACTACAGTTTACTAGTGTATTTTGTAGATTTAGGTGAGGTTAGGGTTAGGCCTACTATTTACTCTGTCATTTCCACTGTTGAGTGGATTTACAAAATAAGCACAGTCCTTGGCGACTGTGACTTGTCATTGTCAGGACCTCAACATTGTCAACGACGTCCAAAGGGCTTACCTAGGACAGGTTTATTTAATCCAGTCTTTTTGTAACGTATTTATTTAATCAAATCCATTTTTTTTCACTGACTGATGGGAAACGGCAAACAGTTGTTTATGAAGTCTCGTTAAGATTTGAAGTGAGACCAGATATATAATTCGAAGTAAGACCAAGTTCAAATGCTGTTAGTGTGTTTTCTAAAAACTAACAAATAAACATGTCATAATGTACACATACTCTATGATTAAGTTATGACGGAGATGAGTAATATGCCTCTAGTTTGGTTCTAACTAGGGGTGTACATTCACAGGTAGTATGGAATTGAAAGCTTGCATTCGTGATCAAGTTCCACACGGCCTGATGGAAGAAGTCTAACAGCTGTTGTGTCTCAATCAGCTATTCAAGCCCAACAACATAAATGTACTAAGAGGTGATAACATAAAATTGTCAGACAACGGCTGACAATGATTTCTTCATGAATTTTCATCTGGTGATACAAATTTAAAAAGGAATCGCTGTTAGCTACATGTATGGCTAACCCTCCAGATGCAATGTAAAGTACAAAGAATCTTTTTTAAATGTAAAATGGACATAAAGGTGCATTCGAATTCAATTTTATATATCAGTAGTTCCTTTAAGAAAATAAGCATGTATGATGTAGGGCTTGACCTTATATCAACAGGGAAAGTCTAGAAGTAATAACCGACATGCTAGACTAGTAACCTTCTCTGTAAGAGGTCTAGTTCCTTGCCAAGACGACTTCCTCTCTGTTCAACCCTGAAAGGGAGAAAGCTGTACTCTCTGGAAATAATTAGAATGAGCTCATTAACCCTAACCATGATAAAGTCAACATTATTCAGCATAAATTTTATGGGGAAAATTCTGTAGTATTTTATATTTTGAATTACAGTAGGAACAGAGACTGTTTGGATTTTATTGGATTAAGCAGGCCTCATTCTCTTCAATAATTGAATTATGTTGGAATTCATCACAGTGCATAGAAATCACCCAAAAGTGGTTGAGGTTCAGTGAAACAAAGAGCTCTGTGAATAGAGGTATTGTACATTGTAACCTTGATATCAATGTGGTCTACATGTACATGTACCACATGGTGGGCTAGGTTTAGGAGTAGGACATGCACATGTGAGCCTCACAGTGAGAGTTTGGCCAACAGTACATGTAAAATATACTGCTGATTACCACACACATTAATATTTGGCTCAATTAAGTTTTTCCCTTGAAGTGGAATTTAACTTAGTTATTTTAAAAATGGAAAGTATTGGCTCTACTCATGCGTGGACACACATCGAACATCCTGGAATGACATACATTGTACATGTTCATGATGTGCATGTACATGTTTTTTTTATGGACAAATCACTGTTCATGGTGACACATATGCACATGACATTTCCTACATGTATCTGCATTGGCCGAGAATTGGCAATCAGAATCTTTGCATGAAACGGCAATTTCTGCAGGAACAACAATGTCAAATGTACCCACACACATGCTGGAAATTGAAGGATGAAAGATAACGTGAAACAGTTGTCCGCTGTGATTCACCAAATCATGATAGTGAATACGTAGTGACGTTTATCTCTGTACATCCATTCAAAGAGTTCAGTAGTCAAGATTTGATTCATCAAAATGTCCCAAGGAAAACCCATGCATTGTACACATTTATTGAAAACAATTGTTGAAATGTAAAGAAATGTGTTCAAGTGAAGCATGTTATGTTGATCCATCATCTTTTGCATTAATTCCTTTAATAAAAATCCATTCAAAATCAGTCAAATGTCACAAATCCACAAAATTACTGAAAAGTCAGGTGTTGATTTTTTGGCAGGCTACATATAAATAACGTTAACCCACACCTTCCAAATAGTGAATAACTTCTACAATTATAAACATTGATGTGCACGTAACTTCTCAACATAATTTCTTACATTAATTTTTTTTTTGTGATTTTTATTTCTTCTTGTTTAGGTTGAATCTTTCATACTGGATCCAGACGAGTTACAGTTTGACAGTTCGGGCAACCCGGACCTCAGGGCCGTGGACCCAGATACCCTCGAAGCTCTCTTAGAAGCTGCGGGTGAGTACTCAATCAAGTCAAACCCGGGCTAGGAAATAGACAAACATCTTAAGATCAATGTCGTGATAGGTTTCTAATTGCGGACTCCAGGTCAAGATGGAGAATCCAGCGACTCAATGAAACACTTGCGGGCGCCCGACTGCTATGTGCCTTGCTGTTGGAGACCATTGAAGCCCACACAAAATAAGACATGTTTACCCTAATGTCCTGAGTCATTCTGGTATATCACATTAATTTACCCTACCTCCCTACTGTCTTTTACCAAATACTGGACCAAGTCCGCCAAAATCCATCAATCACACTGCTTCCAATGCATGCTTTGCTTTAGGCCTCCAGACCCAAGTCCATCATACTATATCCATATTTAGTCAAAACAGGCCTGCAGGACCAAGTCCCCCAAAATCTACCAAAATGAGGGGATGGATTTTGATGGAGATGGCGAGGGTAGTGTTAACCAAACTTGCAATGATCAGTGATGACACTCGGGTAGAAACTATGCAGTAACAGATGATCCAGTAGCACTAAAATTGGAATTAATGCGCTTGTGCATCAGTCATTGTTCAAGGGCCAGTTACAGTAACTGCTTGCTGGACTATGAGTGGAATGGATTCAAACACTCACCAAAATTCCCGTCTCTCTCTTTCACCCATCCTCTTCAGCAGGGATAGACAAGCTGACCACCGCCGATGGCAAAGCGTTCACCGACCCTGAGATCTTGGGCAAGTTAACATCCTCGGTCAGCTCGGCCTTGGACGAGGCGGAGGCTGCCCTCTACCGGATGCGGTCAGAGAGTGGAGGCAATCAGGCAAACCAGGGGGCTGATGGGTAGGTGTCTCTTGGCCTGGATATCTGCATCCTTAGAAAATCTCACGTAACCCTCCCAGATGCTTAATAATCCACCAAAAGGTGACCTTACCGTGTGCTCTAACTTTCAAAAGCTCCATATCAGGTAGCAGTTGCCAAGCTCTACCTTCCTCTATCCTGGAAAATCTTCCAAAACTCTTGGTTTTGGATGGAAGGTGCCAAAATGCTAGAAAATCCTTTCATTGTTAAAGCTAGGTTTACATGACATTACTTTTGTTGTTTTTTAAATGTTGGTGCCAAAAAAGTTCAGTAAGTGATTGTTTTCTCATGTTCTAGCCAAGCCTATGCCGACGCTGAAGATGACCCAGCAGCCCTTAAGAGCATCAATGAAACCACGGAAGAAGGCGAGAGTCTCCTGTCACTTGCCTGCTCTGGAGGTTACTTTGAGCTAGCCCAGGTCAGTCCCAAGTCATAGTTTGTGTTTTCATTTGAACCCTTCCATAATTTGAAATTTAGCTTCTCCCATTCTGATTACTTTCATATTCATTTGACACGCAACTTTGTTAAAAAAAACTAACTTGAGCTGCTAACACTCGGGGCCAAAATGATGATTGTTGTGTAAGGCTGCCGAAAAAAAAGTATCTGCAATAGGACATGCTTCTGAATATTGCCTGTAAAGGGAGAAGTAAGAGCTATAATTAGGGCTGTCCCGAATGTATCGAATATTCGAATATGCGATCAGCAACTGAATATTCGAATAGCTTTTTGCCGGTTTGAATATTCAAAAAGAAAAAAACTATGCATGTGCACACGAGACTGTGATGTTATTATAATCATAAGGTTGCATTTTTTGTTGTGAGATACCACTTTTTTGTCGACGGTAGCGTTTTTGTCGACGCCTATTATTGATCCCATTCTTTTAGCTAGGTTAAATCCCTTAACAGTTGCACAATACTTAATTCAAAACACTCCACTGGTAGCCCATAATATCCGTTGCCACGTGCAAATTTTAACCAGCGTTCTTTGAATGCAACTTTTGGAAGGAAGGCAGCTGCAGCTGGAGGTGTAAAACTTGATCAGCGAGTTTCAAATATTCAGTCAAGTGCAGTTTCAAATAATCGAATACTAAATTATTTGGAAATGGACAGCCCTAGCTGAAGTGTAGGCCAATGAATGATTTTTGTGGCCCACAAAGCAAAGGAATTGTGGAAATTCACCAAAGCAGGGAAAGTAACTGTGGTCATGTCTTGCTTTGGCATTGTACACCACGTAGGTTTTACTGAAGATGAATGCGAATGTGGAGGATCGAGGCAGCAAGGGAGACTGCACACCCTTAATGGAGGCAGCCAGTGCTGGTCATGTGGACATCGTTAAGCTGCTGATAGATTATGGAGCTGATGTCAATGCTCAGTCATCAGCAGGTAGGATATCTCTCCCTAATCCCCGCCCCCATTGCAAGTCCCGCCTCTGTGTGGAACCCCAACATTTCTCCACACGGCAATTTGAATCAGATCTTAAACTTTATAATGATAAATATGATAACTTTCATAAATAAGATGTTCCTGAAATCATCATTGGCACAATTGTCGCGGGTAGTAGCATGCTTAGATTGTATACAAAAATGCTGTATTAATGCCAAGTATTGCTTTATCCACACAGGTAACACCCCCTTGATGTATGCATGCAGCGGTGGCCATGAGGAGGCTGTCAAGGTTCTCTTAGACCATGAAGCCAACATTGAAGACCACAATGAGAACGGTCACACCCCACTCATGGAGGCAGCGAGCAGCGGTCACGTGGGCATTGCTAAGGTTCTGCTGGAGCGAGGAGCTGGAATTAACACCCACTCTAATGAGTTCAAGGAGAGTGCACTGACACTTGCCTGCTACAAAGGTACATCTTGTTCATGACCTCAAGACATGGACTCCTCTAGACATGTCCTGCTCTTTTTCTTTTCCTTCTCCTGCACCCCTGGCTCAACATCTCTCTTCCTGTGCCCCTCCCAAGCAGCCCTTACCCTGTGACCCTCCGAAAAACACCCTCCCAGTGAACTTCTCCCTTCCCAGTGAACCTCTCTCCCCTGCACCCTTTCCTTGCAGCCATGTCCCACATGCCCACTCTACACTCTTTATCCAATAACCTGCACTCTTCACCCTACACCCTCATCGTAATTATTTCCACCAGCTGCATACATGTACACCAAAACTCAAATATTCATGTCTCACATTCATCTTTGACCAACAGGTCATCTTGAGATGGTTCAGTTCTTGTTGGAGGCCGGTGCGGATCATGAACATAAGACTGACGAGATGCATACCGCCCTCATGGAGGCATCCATGGATGGTCACGTTGAGGTGGCACGTCTCTTGTTGGACCATGGTGCTCAGGTAAGTATCCTACACATGTGTTTACTTTAGTCTGAGTTTTGGGTTCTACTGGCAGAACACTCAAGAATGTCACCATTTGGGTGGCTCCAAATTTTAGGAATCTATTTTGATTCTGTCAACAAATCTCTTGAGAATTGACTTTGAATTTGGAAAGCCATACTCAGCTAACTTGAGTTCTTGCTTTGTTCTGTTCTGACAGGTGAACATGCCAGCAGATAGCTTTGAGTCACCTTTGACCTTAGCAGCCTGCGGGGGTCACACCAAGCTTGCTGACCTCTTGATAGAACGAGGTGCCAACATTGAGGAGGTGAATGATGAGGGTTACACGCCACTCATGGAAGCAGCAAGGGAAGGACATGAAGAGATGGTAGCACTACTCATGGCGCAAGGTAGGGGTACAGTAGGTTAAACCTATCAGGACCAGGGTAGTTTGGGTCTTCTCAGGACTGGGGAGTGAGGGGGGCGCGGGGGGCGGGGGAAAACATTGAGGAGGTTTATGAGGGTTATACACAGCTCATTGATGCAGCCAGGAAAGAGGAGATGGAAGCACTACAAGCTCAATGTAGGGCTTCATTCAGAAACCAAGTAGGTGGCAGTAACCATACGTATTATCTGTGCATAGGAAGGTATACATTATCAAAAGAGTAGATGCCAATTGGTAATGCTTAACAGATACCCGAAAGGTTGAGCCGAGTTGAGTATTACCATCATGGAGTAGTTGCTCTGTACAATAGCAAGCGCAATGCTTTCTCCATTACTGAGGGGCTCCATGAGTATGATTCAGTGCTCAGATTGGTCATACAAGTATGACATGAAGTCAGTTCTCCAGTTTTGAGTTACGTATTTTTATCATCCAGATGCCAACATCAATGCTCAAACCGAGGAGACCCAAGAGACAGCGCTGACCCTAGCCTGCTGTGGTGGATTCCTAGACGTGGCTAAATTCCTGATTGACGTGGGAGCCGATATCGAGCTGGGCTGCTCCACTCCACTCATGGAAGCAGCACAAGAAGGACACGTGGAGCTGGTCAAATTCCTACTCAGTAAAAGTAGGTCTACTTTTTTGCCCACACCAGTCTGTTGTTTCATTCGTCAGTGATTAAAATAATGGACACGTCCTTTCAATCGATCAGTCCGCATTGACAAATGAGTGAGTCAAGTGACTTAGTCCCAAGGTCTGTTAGAAATAAACACACACTAATGTTCGAGGGGCTTATAGCCAAATCCGGACAAGCTGGCAATATTGTTTCACGGATTTATGTGTGAAGCACAAATTAGCCAAGAACCCGTCTCAAGCTACCTCACTGCATCACTCGGTATAGTTGAAGATTTGTCTGTTTCTCCAATCTAGATGCCAACGTGCGTGCTGTCACAGCTACCGGAGACACGGCTCTGACTTACGCCTGTGAGAACGGCCACACTGACGTCGCTGATGTACTACTAGCTGCCTGGGCAGACCTGGTAAGTCTTGGGTCATTGTTTCTCGTCCATCGAGGATCGTTATCTTGAAGGACTTAGTCAGTGATAATTTGATATTTGGATATGTCATATTATAGCCTCGGTCCATTGTGATTATAAATGTTTTACCTCCTAGGAGCATGAATCGGAAGGTGGTCGCACCCCGCTCATGAAGGCTGCCAGGGCTGGTCACTTATGCACTGTGCAGTACCTCATTACCAAAGGTTAGTGTAACATCTTAAGATCCTTATCTAGGGCATACTTGATGAAGGAAGATGCTATTAAGCAAAATAAAAATCTTGAATGGTACCTGTAGAGTTATAACTACAGAATTAGTTGTTATTTTTAGTTATGACTAGAATTTATTGTCTGCAAATCATACAGCATTGAAAATCATGGATAGTAATATATACTCAAGACTTAGTATGCTTTGCAAACGATATTTGACTCCTCAGAGTTTCTTTGTTGTTAACTGTTTGCCTATTTTCTCAGGTGCGGAGGTCAATCGTGCAACATCAAACAACGACCACACGGTGCTGTCATTAGCCTGCGCCGGGGGCCATCTCAGCGTGGTGGAACTCCTGCTGGAACATGCTGCCAATCCATCCCATAAACTCAAGGTGCGTCTTGGAAAATACGCACAAGTGCTGATTTTGATCTGATGGTGCAAAGTCCCATATTGTCTTTGCGTGCCAGACAAGTGACTGTCCAGCTCTCTGTTATCACCATTGAGGGGTTACTTTTTGCACATGTGTTGGTTTTGAGTTCTTTTAAAAGTCTGAAAATTGTTGTAGCCATTGTGAGAAGTGAGACAGTTTGGTTCAAGAACACAGGCTTTCAAGGGAAAAATATGTATGAATTTGTGAACGTTTAGATATGAATATATAAATGTTTCATTATCAATATTTGAATAATCGATATCCTACTCGTACCCCATTCCAATTAGGATAACTCCACCTGTTTGATTGAGGCGGCCAAAGGAGGTCACTCTGGGGTCATGTCACTCATCCTCAACTATCCAAACAACTTAGTGACCACACCCGTACCCCTAGAGGGCACAGTCACGCCCCCTACGCCCGAGCTGGGGGAGGTATCCCGGGTGCCAACCCAAGCCCTACCAACAGTGGTACCTCCTCAGAAACCTGACGAGCATCCCGATGAGACGCAGTTGCCTCTGAACCAGGGTGAGTATGGCTTCTTGTCTCTAATGGCTAAGTCAGTCCATAAGGAGAGTGTGGCTTGTTGGTTAAAGTTGGTGACTAATGATCAGAGGATCCTCAGATTTGTTATCAAAGGTTGAAAACTGAATGCTGAAAAAAAAAACCATTTCCAAGAGGTATTTGACGTGAGTCCAAGAACCTGTGTCAATATTTGCATCTAAATGTGCATTTTCCTTCTTATGTAAATTAAAAAATTAGTTATTGAGTGTTGAAGTAACAGAATTTACTGCCTGCTATTGTGCTATCCAAAATGGTATATGTGATGTCTATTATTTATTTGTTTATCTTGCTGTTTATTGATGTCACAGGTTCCCTGCTGCTGGCTCAAGCAATGGCTGAGCCTTTGGTAAACCGAGATCCAACACACCAAAGAATTCCAAGCACCGCTTCCCTGACTGAGGAGCCGGGGGCAGATGCTGTCCCTGTCTCTACCACCGCTCCATCTCTAGTCTCCCCACTGGGGCTTGGTAAGCCCCACCCTGACGTCCAGATTGCCAAAGAGCAGCTGCTTGAGAAGCAGAAGCAGTTTCGGGAGCTGCAGAAGATCGAGTGGGATTTCATCCAGAAGGATTCGGTGGTAGAAGCGGAATTGGAATCCACCGATGGAGAATCCGCTACCAATCGAGTCCCTAGCCCCAGCGACGCTCCATCCAGTGATGTCGCCTCACGTCTAGCAGCAGAAGCCAACAATAACAAGTCTCCCAAAGGGGTTCGCGAAGCAACTCCAGGCTCCCCGAATGCAGATGTCTTAGCCACAGATATTGACGACTCGGCCTTGGATCTACGGGAGATCAAAATCAACCAGTTCAACAAGGAAGCACTTGCGCTAAGTCCCGACCTCCCCGAGCAGAGACTATCCGCCCAGGGCATGGAAGCTGAATCCCAAACTCCAACTCCAGATCTCCCTGCTGCAAGTCACTCCTCTGTATCTCCCCTTTTCAGCTTGGAAGATCTCGGTTTATCAAGAGATCCCCAAGATGGCCACTCTCCTAAACTAGAAGCCTTGGCCAACCGGCAATCTCCAACTAACCACCAAACCGCGGCTCCTCTGACTAAAGATGCAAGCAGCCAGATGGCCCCACTTACCCCAGCCTCCCTACCGGACGTCCAGAGTCTTCTACCCACAGGGGAGGATCTCTCCTTCATCTCTGTCACTGAATGTGTCACAGGGTCCACTACAGGTGTTGACAGACTTGCTGACATCTCGTCACAAGAGAGGGAGAGTGGAGTTGGAGAAGAGGCACAGAATGGTTTGATGGTGGCATCATCGGTGTGTGCTGTGGCTGAGACTATTGATGCTCAAGCACGTAAGTTGTAAATACATGTACATAATTATTTTTAAAATAGGATTGGTAACAACACGGCCATGGCCGTAAATGGTATGTGATGTTCACCAAATCTCTGCAAATTTGCTCATATGGTCTAATTTCTCTCAATGATTGAGTGTTTTTTCGGCTTTTTTTTTAAAACAGGCCCAGAGTTACCTCCCAAGCCCTGGAAGGCACCTCCCCAGACCCAATCTGTGGGCACCCAGTGTGGTTCCTCCCTCACCTGTCGCGTGACCCCTCCACTCACCCTCAGCACCTCCACTGCCTTCCCTACACCGGACCCTGTCCATCATCCCTCCCCGTCCTCCCCTAACATCCTCTACGTGCCGCAGTTCACCCCTCACCCACCTGTTGAGGTGGACGCGCAGACGGAGAGCAATCATGACACGGCGTTGACAGTCGCCTGTGCTGGTGGACATGACGAGCTGGTCCAGATGTTGCTGGAGAAGAGTGCAAACATGGAACATAAGGACAAAAAAGGTAAAGGGCTCTCAATTTTTATAATGTATGCTCAACGCTTTCTGAGAGCTTTATGAGAAAAACTTAGCCAATTTTTACACTTTTTGTGGGACACTCATGACCTTCTACAAGTACTGATGCCTTGCCACTCAAACATTGAGCTTCTAGGGCCCATTGGCCATTTCAAATCTTATATGAAAGCACGTATCATTATCAATGACATCGTGATGATGTAATTTTATAGAGCAATTAAGGAAAATCTCGCAAGCTTATATCTAGGTGGGCCTCAAGTAAGAGCTTATATCTGGTGCAAAGACAAGAAGGGCAAAATTAGTACCAAAATTGATTACATTAATCATCACAGATTCAGTTATGTATCTACAAACCATCTATGTAATGGTTTCCACTTGTTTCTCCCCTCAGGTTTTACCCCTCTCATCCTGGCAGCGACCGCTGGCCACTGCAAGACTGTCGAGATTCTCCTTGACCATGACTGTGACATCGAAGCCCAGTCAGAGAGGACCAAGGACACCCCGCTCTCCCTGGCTTGCTCGGGAGGAAGATACGAGGTGAGATTGTGAAACCAGGAATTCTTGAAAGCGTCCAAGGAATTGCTGCTTGTAGGTTTTAAGAAACCCTTTTGGAGAGGAGGAAGAATTTTACGTTCTTAGAGGTGGGAGGAAAAGCCACGTATATCTTCAAGGGGAAGAGCTTACAACTCCCTAACCCAAGCAATCTACCTCTACCACATCCAAAACTGAAAGTTTATTAACTGTTTGTAATTTTGTTCAGGTGGTGGATCTGTTGTTGGCCCGTGGAGCCAACAAGGAACACCGTAACGTGTCTGACTACACCCCACTCAGCCTGGCTGCTTCAGGAGGCTTTGTTAGTATCATCAAGCTGCTGCTCAGATACGGAGCTGAGATTAACTCCAGGTAGGAGCCAAATCAGAATCTGTTGGTGGGATGGGTCTCAATAGTTGGGTCATTTTCTACGTTCACCAGGAATACAGCTCAAGTTTACAACACTCAGACATGTTACATCCATATCCACAGACAGAAATGCTAATTTCGGGCACAATATCATATCAACAGCATCTTACTCGTATTTTTTGTTTCTAATATTTCAACTAGAACCGGCAGTAAGCTGGGCATATCTCCCCTGATGCTGGCCGCAATGAACGGCCACACCGCAGCAGTCAAACTCCTACTAGACATGGGCAGTGACATCAATGCTCAGATCGAGACCAATCGTAACACAGCGCTGACCTTGGCATGTTTCCAAGGTCGCACAGAGGTCGTGAGCCTGCTGGTTGATCGCAAAGCTAACGTGGAACACAGGGCTAAGGTAACGAATAAGAACAAGATGATACTTCAAAAAGGTTGTCTTCATCAAATTTTAATCTACCATCAAAAAATAAGTGAATGGGATATTGTGAAAATCTTAGCACGTCTCACAACCAATGCATGGCTAAATTTGATACTGTTTTCTTCTTCCCAGACGGGTCTGACCCCCCTCATGGAAGCAGCTTCTGGCGGCTACGCAGATGTAGGGGCGGTCCTAATTGACAAAGGGGCGGACGTCAATGCCGGTCCCGTACCTTCCTCCCGCGATACCGCCTTGACCATCGCAGCAGACAAGGGGCACTATCGCTTTGTGGAGCTCCTGCTGGAACATATGGCTGCTGTGGATGTCAAGAACAAAAAGGGCAATTCTCCGCTATGGCTGGCATGCAATGGTGAGTCCTGGCGGCCATCTTGGTCTGGCATCACGCAGTCCATATTAGGATTTGTGCTGTTTGTATTAATGTCACCGAAGCACCAGACTATTGGTCATTTACTCCTAATAAAATTTTTAACGGGTAAATAGCTACTAGGCTTTTAATTGCGATTACTGGTGGCTATGTTTTGTATTAAAGACACCCTAAAGCCCAAATGGGGATTAGTGTGATTTGTATTAAATTGATTATCGGTCATTAACCCTCGTTTTGAATTTCTGTCTCTCATCAGGTGGTCATCTGGACGTGGTGCAGCGACTGATCCATGCAGGAGCCGACATCGACAGCCAAGACAACCGCAAAGTCTCCTGCCTGATGGCTGCATTCAGAAAGGTGAGTCATCGTAGCCTTGGAAATCAGAAGGAAGCACTGCCTATAATGTAGTCCTTCTCAGAATGAACCGTAGATGAGTAAACCATGCTGGGAATTTTACTATTATCATTATTATTATTTATGCGGCCAACAAATAAAACAAGCACATTGAAAAAGCAATTATATATCATACAAGTATTCTAAAAGTAAAATGAGAATTAGTTACCAAAACATATGACTAGACAAGCCTGAAGGATGCAAAAAGGAATGGAGGGGGGGGGGGGACAGGAGGGGGACAATAGGGGTGGGACAGTTATAAAAAAAAGGAGATAGAAGGACCTAAAACAAGGACAACACATTCCAAGCCGGCCAGAGTAAATAAAAGTGTATTAAAAAGCTGTGGCCCTAAAGCCTGCTTACCCATGCTTAATATATCTGCACAACAAGTATATATGTTCTTTTCTTTTCTTTTTTTTTTTTTTTTAAATATTCACAAATTGAATGCCCTGTGTGGGAGGTATTATAGAGGACAAGCAGTATTTTGTGTAGGATCATAAAACAACTCCATTCAAAAAGCCTGTCTCCACCCAGCCCCCCCCCCCCCCCCCCCCCCCCCCCCCCCCGAACAAAAGTGACATTTAATTCCTGACCTGTTTTTACAGGGGCACGTTAAAGTAGTACGATGGATGGTGCGCCACGTGAACCAGTTCCCCTCAGATGCTGAGTGTATGAGATACATAGCTACCATCTCAGATAAGGTAGGTCAATATCTGGACAATCCATACAAATTTAGGTGACATTCCTTTACACCAAGACTATCCATAAGAAATTTTGATAGTTGGTATTGTCACTATGTCGAATGAAAACTAGTCAATATTGGCTCTGCTAACCACAGCATTCCGCGCTTACGATCAGTATTCTGTACTTACTGCGCTAACAAAAAATGCTGGACTATCCCTGTAAGCACAGAATTCTTAGTTACGGCATGTACGCATGTGCATAAGGGAAAATTCCTCACTAACCCGTGAAATATGCTTACCGTGCACACAGAATTTTCTGCTGCAGTAAGCAGGGATTTTTTTGCTAACGGTAAGCAGAGCCATGCAATTGGGCACCGGGCTTGCCATTTCAGGTCCAATTCAAATTTCCCTGATCATCCCATGTTTCAAATCTGCTCCTTACAGGGTATAAGATTTCCAATTTTGTTCCCTCTTGACAGGAGCTGTTGAAGAAGTGCCACCAGTGCATGGAGATCATCGTAGCAGCAAAGGACCGACAGGCTGCGGAGGCCAACAAGAACGCTACTAACCTACTGGAAGAACTAGAGTCAGAAAAGGTAAGCACTAAGCAAAGAAACGACCGCAGAAGGCTGTGGAGCTGCTGAGCAAAGTATTGTCAAGCAAGTTTACATGCTAAGCATAAATCAGTTGAGAAAAACTGTCCAGAAGTATTGACTTTTGTCACAAGAACCTTTCGGTGATGAAAATAACAAATAGCCAATACGAATGACCATCAGGGATGGTGGGGTGTTTTTGTTATTGTGCCATTCTGTTAAATGAAACCTTCGCAAAATGTTAATTTTAACATTTAGGAAATTTTAATCAAAAAATTAGAGTGGCCTGATATTTCATCCTTAGCAAGGACCTTTTAGAGGGAAATTTAGGAAATTTAACGTACTTAAAATTGAGCAATTTACAAAGTGATAAATAAGTGGTCCTTTTTGTCATTCGACAGACACGAGAGGAGAGCCGCAAAGCCCAGGCTGCCAAACGACGAGAGAAGAAAAAGAAGAAACGCAAAGAGAAGCAGCAGAAAGACGTTCCTGATGACCCTGACCCAGATATGGACCAAGACCAGGAGAGAGAGGACAGTACACCAAGCCCTACCATCAATAGTAAGTTGTGCACCTTCCCCTGGGATTTGTTGGTCTGGGGTTCATATCTACATGATGAATGCTGGATGGAGGCACAGGTGTTGCTGTTGGTTTTCCTTTGTTTGTTTAGACAATAAGGTAGTTTTTATCGTCCCAACAGTGGAAGAACCAGTCCCGTGGGAGCCTCCCTCAGCAACAACCACCACCACCATCGGTAAAGTTTGCACCACCGACGTCCCGGCCATCTACACCATGCCAGGGCCCAAGAAGGGAAAGAACACCAAGCTAGTCCTTAGCAGCAACACCAGCGGCAGCAACAACTACAGTAGCAATAGTAACAACAGCAGCAGCGGCAGTAATGCAGTTAAGAACTTACCAGCGACAACCAACGGAACCAAATCAGCTGTGGTCAGCTCACCTGCCACCTCTTCAAGTTCCAAAGAAACAGGTACTTAGACCCAGTCCCAATCCAGTATTCTGTAGCTTCGGCTTTGGCTTTGCAATTTGAATTGGCAGAATACTGTGAGTAGCCATAGTCAAATGACCTCTCCACCTTTTTTTTTTAACAGCGTCCAGCAGTGGTGACTCCAGGAAAGATCGCGTCCGGGCTCGGGCCAAATCCCGCGGCCAAGACCCCAATGAATCTGACAGCAGGAAGAGAGTACGTAACAGCCTGATGGACACGGAGGAGATGGACAGCAAGGAGTGTGTGGCTCCCAAAAAAGAAAGGGAAAGAGATAAGGGGCGGGATAAGGAGAGACGAAAGAAGGCGGGGAAAGATGGCAAGCATGCTGACCATCCCTCGTAAGTTTATATATTTTTGACAAGTTTTAAACCACTTTTATAATGTTCATGTTAATACTGGAATGGTAGTAGAAGCAATAAAACTTTGATTTAGTGAGCTTTAGGTTTTTGTTTGAGTCTCACCAGAACAAGTTTGTGTCTTCTCTAAGGTGTCAGAGACAGCACTGAAGATGCGGCGTTTGTGATTGCCAGGAATTAAAAATTTGTTGCCATTTCTCTTTTTTTTTTGTCAGTGACCACAGCCATAGCAGTAAGAACTCTCCCAGAGGTGGCAGTGGAGACGTCACAGGTTCCCCTAATCCCAAGAACCCACCAGGCACCGGAGCCAGCCCCAAGAGGGGACAGAAGAGGGACGAAGGATGGAAGGAAGTTGTCAGAAGGTACGTGGACAAGGGACAGGACAAGTCATTGTGTCACGTAGTGTCAATTGAAGAAAGCCTAATTTTTGGGGAGAAACTAGGTGAATTTGAACGTCGGATTCTTTATGGAGCAAACTTAGACTCTTCGAACAAGTTATTATGGTTTTAATGTTTTATTTTTTTCTCCAGGTCCATCTCCTCGTTCAGGTCCAAGAAAGTCAACGTCCCTGCATCGGCAATCAGTCGTCTGATCGGTCGAGGAGGATGCAACATCAACGCCATTCGGGAGGTGACTGGGGCTCACATTGATGTGGATCGGCAGAACAAGGGCGGCGAGAGGACCATTAACATCAAGTAAGTTATCAGGACTTAACTTCGGACGATGAGCCTAAATGGGACCCCTGTATCCCATTTGGAAGGATGGACATATATCAAGATGCATTTGGAGTCTGAGGGTGGCTGTGGTTGAGCCGTCTAAAACTGGTTCCTCCTAAAACCACACCAGCTCACAAAAGAAAATTACTTTCTCAGGTTGCAAGCCCAGTCTTGCTGTTAATTATTGACTATTGTTAATCCCAATATTTAGTACAGCCTTCTTTGCAACAATTATAGTGCTCTTGCCAGTTATCAGGATGTTGCTGAAGGTTTGTGGGAAACGATGACTATAAACAAACAAACCTAGGGTTAAACCTAGATTTAGAAGAATATCACTCTTATTCCATACCCTACGGTGAGCATTTTGTGTACATTTTCTTCTCTTTCAGGGGTTCTGCTGATGCCACTCGCCAAGCCCATCAGCTCATAGCAGCCCTGATCAAAGACCCAGATCGTGACATTGCTGACATCCTACCAAAGGTCAAGAAGGTGACATCCTCTCACCAGTCTTCATCTAACACCGCCACCTTCACCATCTCCAATTCTCACTCAGCCACCAAGTCCGCAACGGCAACCTTGTCGGCTGTCAAGGTCTCAGCAAAAGGCATGACCTCCGCCGACACCAAAGGGGTGAATCTGTGGATTCCGCAATCAGGGGTTGTCCGTCCTCCCTTATCCATCGCCAACAGTGTGGCCCATCACGCGCAATTCTCCCAAGCAGTATTTGCCAAGGCACTACAGCAGCCCTTGCAGTTCCGTGCTCCCGGAGCACCGCTGGCTCAGTTCCAGGGCGGGTTCCCTTTAACCCGCCAGGACTTAGCAGGAGGTACCATCTCAGGCTGGGGTGCCATCCCAGTCAGGAATGTGGTACCTGTATCGGGAGCTCCTAGACGTCCCAGTCCTAGTCATCCAGGACCACGCTTCCCAACAGCCACTACAGCCACTGGAGGAAGTCCATCTGCTGGATCTGTCACCATCACCAGTTCCGTCGGATCGTCCCCCCGCTCGGCAGCAAGGCAGCTTTTCCCTCCTACATCATCCACAAGCGGTCCCACACCCGTCAGCAGTGCGGAGTACCAGCCAATAACCCAAAGATCCAGCTCCGCAACTGCCCCATCATCATCAGCCTCGTTCGCCTCCAAGATCTCTGACACCAAGATGGCTAGCGTCAGACCTCAGAGTCTGATGACCATGGCGTCCATGTCTCAACCTACAGTCACTGCTCCGACCACCAAGACATCAGTTATTGCCCGGCCACCTCAACCACGCCAACCAAACCCCACCCAGTCAGGCTATCAGCAGGTCCAACACCAGCAACAGCCACCAGCACCACAACAGCAACAACAACAGCAGCAGCAACTAAGCCAAGCCAGTCGTACCATCACTCCCTCCACCACCTCTACCACCACCACCTCCACCCAGTCCTACCCCAACTTCAATTTCCTAACCCAGTCCCACAGCACCGGTTTCTGGGGCACGGGTGTGACCCAGCATCCCAACCGACCTGAAGCAAATGGCGAGTATCGCCCTCCTACCCCACCCAGCGTCGAGATGTCCAAAGCCCCTGGCTACAACCGCAACTCCCACATGAATCCCACCCCTCCACAACCGCTACAACCACCAGCAACCTCCATCCCTAACCCGTATTTCAACGCCCACAACTACCCAGTCCCGAACCCCCAAAATTCCTTCACCCCCAACCAGCAGTTTGGTGTCAACATCAATCAGACCCTCCCCCCTGACCAACCTGATTACCCCTCTCCAATTGGCTCTACCCTCAACGCAAATGCCCGTCAGTTTACCCCCATCGCTAACCCCAACCCCTCCCCTACCCCACCCAACACCATGATGTCTAGCAGCAGCTCGCCCATATCCCCTGGAGCCTCACCTCGTTCAGCAACTACTACGCCTAGTCCGGTCACCATGGCAACTGACCAGCCTCCGGCCCCGCCTCCAGCAGCCATTGGTCAAGATCGTCGCTTACCAATTCCCATTGGCAATGAGCGTAGTCGCGTGCAGCGCAAGACACCTGTCAACTTTGTTGGTGTCCCTGTTGGTGATCTTGGTAATCCTGTTGGTACACCGGGGAATAGCATCTGGGCTTACACACCAGGTAAGACAATTGGATATTTGTGAGGCATTGTAGCAAAACGAGACAGAACTGGGTACATTTTGTGGTCATTTTTTCTTCGATTTTCAGATTTATTGATATGTTTTGTCTTTGATATGCCTACTACACATATTTTAAAGAAACACTATCAAATTGTGGAATAAAAGGGTTTATAAGAAAAAACATCAGGCATCTTTCATATTCACGATTTCAAAACAGTCAAAAGGCCTTTTTCTCAGTATTTTACTTTCTTGACGTCAACAAATGCAAACCTTAAATATCCATAACTTGTATTCTCTTTCCTAATAACCACAAAATCTCATTTTGACCTCTAACCAGTTTTGCCTCATTTTGCCAGATTGCCTCACATTTATTGTCGAGTGTAAGAAACTTGGGAGGAGTGGAGACTATTTTAAGTGTGCTGTTTTGGCAAAGAAAGCGTCCTAAATCCGCCAACATCCATCACTGCATGCAAATCTATGACGCATTTTAAATCAAGCCCCACGTAACATTACCCTTTACAACCGGAATTTACCCAGAAAATATTTAGTGGAGTTTCAAGGACCCGAGAGGTATCAGTCTAAGGACAACATCTTATAATTGCTGGTTTTCTTTTTCCAGGGAGCGGTGGTGACTGGATCCCAAGTACCAACTTGGAGGACTTACCAGGCACAGCAGCTAACGGGATGCCTAACTTCCCCCATGAGGCACCGCCGAGAGAGGACAGCTTCCAAATGCACATGGTACGTGTCTCACTCCCCCACCACCGCCAACGGTGGTGTTTACATTAAAGAGGCTACTTCCAACTTCACCTTTGACTTCCTGCATATATTTTCTGGCATGTGAATCATCCATGCTTCAAAGCCTAAAAAGTTATGACTTAGACCACGTTTCCTCGTAGTATCCCTGTAACTCACATGTCAACATGGGATTCATATTGTATAGATCCTTTGCATTGCAGCCATCTTTGAGGTGTGTCCTTTTATATCTCATGAATATGCATGAGTAGGCCTCTTGTGCATTCATTATGGCTAATTAATGCTAAGGGTCTATTCAGAGCATTAAGAAGACTGAGACATCTCACTTGGCCAACCTGTTGTTTCCCCACAGACACCTGTCAGTCCATATGGTGAGCAACACGAGCCAATGTCCGGCATGCATCATAACATGGCCATGGGCGATGTGGGAGGGGTGCCAGCTCATGGAATGGCAGAAGCGGTCTGGAACCCTGGAGCCACCATGCAACTTGATGGCACAAATCCAAAGGTGGGTCCTGTCTCAAAGCTTAAGGCTGTTTCAATTTACATGGCTATGGCTAGCCACACCACATGTGTCTGTTGGACGTGTAGTCGGCCACTTCCTTGGCTGTATGGTCTCTTGCAAACCTCAGCCAAGGCCAAGTTCGCGCAAGGACTATAGTTGACCAATGGTTAACTAACGTTTGCCCGAACTCTGTCTAGTCGACGGTGGTTGACTACGCTAGTCGACTATTTGGAACCAACCTACTGGGGTTGGTTGCTTCGCTGGTAACCAATAGCCGCGCGCATTCATAACGCTAGCAGAGAGCCAGGATCCAGAAGTTTTGCAATGACATTTTGACCAGCGTTTGACTAGAGATGTTCGCACGTTGTTATTAGTGCGCAGGCGTAAGGTACGTCACAAATCAACCACTAGTCGACTAATGGTCCTTGCCCGAACTTGGCCCAAGTAATGTTGATACGGCCTTAAAATCTACTCTAAAGAATATTTTTTTTGTAGCTTATACACCTGAATTATTTAATGCAGTAATTTCTCAATAGCAAGTTTATTGCATCCCCGTTTTTTAATGTTACGTTTAAAAATACTGGAAAATAATTCTGACATTATTTCTCAAGCATAAGGACTATGTAGACAACGCAATGTTGATTCAGAAACCAAAAAAAAGGCATAACATTCCTTTAATGCCAGTTTGTTTTTGGATAGTTGCCAGGGGAGGCCCTCCTACAAAGGTGGTTGGCATGAACTACAAGTTCAAAAATAAAATTTATCCCAAATTATTTCATGTAGTTCAGGATTGTGCTCTTGGCCACCCCTCAAGAAGAATCTTAATTTTCTTCACCAGTGATTGGTCTGTTTGTCATTCATAAGTTGCAAATTTGTCTTCTACTTTCCCAGGTGTGGGGAGCATGGAGCCAGTCTGCAATGTGACATGAGGTCACTTCTCCATCCGCTGCCATAGAGGGCGCTGTTTGGCACAGCCAGGGCATACACCAGAGATAGTCGAGTTAAGTTTTCTTAGATGCTCAGCAGCCGTCCTGTAATGCTATCTGGTTTGTTGTCTAACCCGCCAAACATTTCAAATGACAATTAGGAGAAATTAAAAAAAATTGAACGAGCCTTGAGAGAAAAATTCTCATCGATTCTATGAAATTTAAAATTATAAAAGGCTATTAAGTAATTTTTGGTTGTGCATCATTCAAAGTATACGCATTAAAAATTTTGTTTTTGAAACAATGAATACGTGCAAAACCTTTTTCATATTTTTTTTTATATTTGACATTTTTGTATCTGAAAAGAAGACGGGCTACTCACACTAAAAATTGTCATTTGTGTTGAAATCTAATTTTATTTTTTATTTTGGGAAGTTGGACGACGGATTCAGGTTAGACACATTCCAGTTAAGCATTAGAGGATGCACTGTTATGGCTTTGGATGGGTACCTTTATGGATTTGTATTTGAGGTCAGTATCTATGAGACAGGGCACCAGCCTTGTCTCCCAACTATTTAACCGTTTATCCCAATGTTCCCAGTATGTTAGATAAACACGATAGTCGAATTCACATTTCTTGAGTGATTTTTATAGCGAATCTCACAAATTTTACTAGAATTGTTAAACAAAAATCCACCCAACCCCTCAATACCAGAGTAGAGAATGATATTTGTAGCAATGATTTTTTGTTTTTATTTTGGGGCTGTGTATGGAATTAATGAGTATGACCTTTGACCTTAAGTAGTCGAAGCAAGTGGCCACTGGAACATTTAATGTGACTTTTATTTTATTCCGAATTAGACAAAAATGAAACTGCCTTTCCGACAACAAACTTGTCCCCTCTTATGTTAATGAGACCCGCCAAAACTTGTAGCAAGTATTGGAAGAGAATGTTCCATTATGAGATTAGAGGGGTGATCACTTTGATGCAAGGCAATTAGACTGTTTTGTTGATTGATAAATGTAATAGACAAAAAATGTGACCTAAAAGTGATTCATTGAATGCATAAAAAAATTGTCTCACTTGAGATGTTTTATGTGTCAGTTTTACTTTTGTTTATGAAGCTTTACAAAAAGACGAACACTTCAAAAATCGCCCGGAAAGAATAAACTCTTTCAAAACGGGGATTATTTCTTGAGTTCAAAACTTGTCAGTTGAAGACGATGTTTCGTTAAATATGTACGTTACTAGTACGGAAGCATCCATCTTTAAAAAACGTAGTATTGTGATTGGTTCGTGCATTACATTGTAAACAAAGCGTGGCTTGCCCGCTTGGATGTTGGCATGTATTATGCTTTTGACGAAGGCACAGCATTAAATTAAGGTCAGTGAGCCTGTTTGACCTTTGACCTCTCGTCTCTATTGTATGTCAGTTTAAGCTTTGGTTTCGCTCTGCACAGTGAATTAACCCTCAAAAAATCGACTACAGCTCTATGGCCCATAAAAAATGTTGGCACATGTATCTTAATTGTGCATGCCTACATCAAACTTTGAAAATGTTTACTTCGAGACAACCACAACGGATAAAATTGTAAAAGTTTACGAGGGAAATGGAGATGAACTCTTGATCTACTGTTTTTCATGCAGGCATAAAATACGTTGGAATTTAAAAATTTGCACAGATGTTGGAGCTATAATGTAATATAAATTGAAAGCAATGTGCAACTCAAGGTTTTAGCCCTTTTATTTTTGCTCATTTCGAACCAAAAACCGTGTTTGATTTGTCAATTGTACTATGAATTATCTTGAACTGAAAATTTTCAAAGTTTGATGTACGTATGAACAGCTGTCTTTTTACCCAAATCCAAAAGTTGCCGGTCTCAAAAATATGTTTTTTTGATTCTCGTCTCTTACATCAGTGTTCATAATGTTCCTCCACAATAATCGTTTACCAGTACTTTGTAAAACAACAAAACACGAACATCTGTTAGGCAAAGGTTCATGTTTAAGAAGTGCATTTTCAAAATTTAGAATTCCGAAAAAAATACCATGAAAATCTTGCCGACGAGCATTTAAAAAAAAAAATACTTAGTTTTGAAATTCAAACCCTCATCCATAGTTCCATACTGAAAAAAAAGAACAAAATTCAAAAATATCACTTACATCTTCTTGGTGTGTAAAATTTCGTATTGGCTCTTGCAAAATTATATCCTAAAATTGTTCCAAAGACAGAGAAACAAATTTGCAACACTCACCATGAAGTCATTAATTCCTACTGAAAAATCATCCAATTTGCACCGGCACCAGACTATCACATGACCTCTAAATACCTTGGACAAGAGAGGGCGATATATTCAGGAAGAAATCATTGAAGCATGAAAACCTACTTCAACAGCACACTGCACGGTCAAGTGAGGAAGGCACTTCAACCAGGTTGCAGCAAGACCCTTATGCTAAGAGTCCACATCCATCATGTGTTCCACCGAAAGCCAGCAAGCCCTTAGCCCAGCAGAATTCGTACTACAGAGTCTCACTGCTAGATGTATCTATCTGACAGAGAAACATCGAAGCGAAGTTCATCAGCGCTCAACAGGCATCAATCAGAGAGCTAGTCTCCAAAAAGGAAAGCCTCTTCAACTACCAGCTGACTTATTGGTCTTCGCACTTGGAACTGTACTCCAAGCACTGCCTACTAACATTAGGACTTCAACCAAATGCAGATGCAAGATCCAACCCCTCTACTTAAGTCTATAGCAACCAAAAAAAGCAAGTCCAAAAAAACCCAAGTCCACCCCATTAAAGTTAAGTCCAACAAGCTCAAAAAGTATAAAGTCCCAGTCTATCAACTTGCCCCATCAGTCCAAAAATCCTATCAGCTTCCCTACCCTCTAAATAGTAGTCCAGTTCCCTCTCAACCATCAACCTGCCCACCCAGAATCCCGAAGCCTACCCTCCAGCTCCAAACCCCTTCAGCTCCCAACTCCTCAACCTCCCAGCCTCAGACCCTCAGATCTGAAAAAAATTCAAGGGGTACCCCTTGATTTCTGAAATTCTGGCCAGAGCTGAAAAATTGTCTAAGTCCAACAACCTAAGGGTTTTAATTACGAAAACCGGAGATTTTTTCAAGAAAGTGCCATGGCAGAGCGGGAAAAAAGAGAGCTGGCATGCAGAAGGTACGCGGTTCAACCCTGCCCCATGCTACTATTTTATTTATTTTTTAAAATTTCTCTCTGCTGTGAGGAAAAATTCTCCTCCCGGGTCCCCGGCTGGGATTTGATCCGGGGACCCCGGCCTGGCGGTCAGCGAGCTAGACCACCAGGCCATATGCCTCTTCGAAAATTTGTTCTCGGACGTTATATTTAAAGGTTAGATTGCGCAATATTAAAAAAAAAAATAAAATTTTTTTAAATACAACCTTTGCCCTCATTTGCATAATAAAACAGGAAAAAATGAATAGTCAAAAGGAAACTTCACGTATAGGCTCAAAATGCTGGTTCATAACCAAATTTAGACATTGGTTTTATTTTCTCTGTACATTAAATGACTTGCATTAAATATTTTTAACATTCTAATTACAATGCGTAACATGTTTTTGGTAGGTACGCAATAAAAGCGACTTTTATGCAATATTTAACAAGAACCAATACGTTATAAAATACAGTACCAAATTCACAATATGTCCTTTAAACACTCCTTTAAAATTAATTACAATGAAATTTGTTACTGCTCAATAATTTAGTGTTAAGTTGCTTGCAGATTTGTAATAAATGTCCTATGTACAAAATTAGCTCTCATTGGCAGACTATAAACGGATTGAAAACTAGCAACATCTCATTTTGTTTAATATAAAAATTTAAGGGTTTTTGCAAGTTAAAATCCGTCTTCTTTTGAGTACCATATCATACCAGTGACTAATCTTTAAATCCAATGACATTTTATCTACTTCAGAAACACACATTTTTAATACACATCACCTTATTTCATGCAGGTTCTAGTACCAACACCAAAAAATTAATACCGATTATAAAGGTTATTTGCCATAATGTATGAATACTGGCCTCTATATTCAATCGTAAAGTTGAGTTCAATATGTATGGCTTAATGCTAAATCATATCATAGCTAATTTAAACATTTGTTTTAATGAAAACAAATTGGCAAGGGCATATTTCCAATTTTCCATAAATTTAAGTACATTTCTGAAAACTGTCTTCATTAACATGGTTTAGTCTTCCCAGAATTTTATTTATCTACAGGAAATAAATGTTCAGTAAAATTGACTTTACAAAAATTACAGCGTGGGAAGTAGTAACTGGTGCGATTATAGGTATTCAAATACATAAATTTGACCTCATTTTGAGTGATCTAAAAAGTGTTGAGAATTTGCATATGGCGAGGGTTTTTGTTTTACTGTGGATTATGCATTAATTAATCCAACCATAAAAGTAGTATTTTTTCATAATCTAAAATTTTGTGTTTATAAAATTCGGAGGGCCAAATAATTATGAATTTTTCTGAATTTATAAGTAAGGAAGTCTTTATATTCTTTAAAAGTGAACAAAGAAAAATTTTGATGACCCACTTACGTTGTTCGATGCGACTCTTACACTGTAAATGGGCTTTCGTTTCATTCCATGGCGTTGATTGGGTTGTCTAAGTTGTGCGCAATGCATTCGACTATGTGCGTATTACTTGGGTCATGTTTTTAATAACACTCGACAGACACAAAAAGCCAAGAAAAATATCAAGCATGTTTTGAACTTTATAGACCAACCAGAAACTCTATCACTGTGTACTTAACATATCACCATCAGTTCCCATTCAATGTGTTATTTTCCTTTATTTATATTTACCACTAAAAACAGGTTTCAATAAAGTTTTACACACATTTTATCCAAAGGTTTTATTCAACGAGTATAACACAAAACCAACAGTTATGCAAATATGTAGGCCCAAATCAACCATCATTCCATTAAGACTTGTATATTTTTTTATTATCCTAACATTTTATCCACCATAATTGTTTATTAAAATAAAATTAAGGTTCATGCCATTGTTAAACACTAATGCAGACTGATATGAGAAGCTAATCACTCCTTTTTGAAAATTTTAAGTTCTGAAAATTAAAACTAAATAAATAAGTAAGCTCAAGGCAACCCAGGAAGGGTTATTTCTCAGATAGAGGATGTTGATGCAAACTGATGCATTGCCAGGGAACTTCCACATCAATAGCAGCATCTTTCAGTCCAAGTTAGCCGCATGAGAACCTGAAAATAAAAACAATGAAATTGAAAAATAACATACAAAATGTTCAGGTAATCTACGTCATTGAATTTTTTTTTTTTTTTTGGGGGGGGGGGGTAATATTGTAAGATTTTGTATACATTTTGAAGCTTGCATAGTTTGGAGTACAAACACACCATGTGAAGCTACTTTAACCCTAACAGTCCTGAATCCTCCAATTTCAGTATGTTTTTGCACATCCCCTAGGGAGTTAGGGTTAATTAATTTTTATACATGTACATGTAACAAAAACAAGCTATTTAAATACAATTAAAATTGTATCAAAAAGAGCAGTGGTTTCAAGAAAAGTTATAGTTATTAACCAGACTTGTATAGCATACTGACTAAATCTCAGATTAAAACATCTGGCTCTGAGAACCACTTTTATTTTAGGAGCGTCTCACTTTGCGCGGTGAACCAACAAAGTGTCTTCTAGAATCATCAACCAAAACCTGTACCTTTAGACAAGGGGAAAGCCACTTCTCCTGCAAGTCAAGGAGCATCCGCTTCGTTGGCTCAGGCATCAGCTCTGCCTCCCAGCTGCCGACCTCATCTGCTACTTGATCTGGAGTCCCTCCCATGGAAGATGCGAGGGGGGGGGGTGAAAATTTGCAGTGAAACTACTTAATTCAAATTTCCATCTCAACATTAATACCCATAAACAAAATCTATTAACCAATAAACCATGTTGAACTGAATGGAATGAATTGGATTGAATATTCCCCTCTACTATGCCAGTTAACTTATTGTCCATAAAAGGTGTATGTACAGTTTGGAAGATGAAACATAATTTTTAAAATGTAATAACAAAAATCATTAATTTATAAAATGAAACTAAATATCTTAAAATTTGAGTTATGTTCACATAAAACAACAATACAAAAATACTAGCATCAATTAATGCACCCATAATTTATACTGAAATTGTGACTTGAAGTTTAAATTTAAAAAGTTTTTAGCTTACCTGTTCCGATGCAACCTTGTATTCCTCTTCTCAAGGGGTTGGCATCTACTTCCAGTCATTTCTTTGGAAAGAGTGTGCAAAAAAAAGAGCAAATACAGAAGTTATATTCAAGCTTATCTATTCTCAAAATAATGCACATCACAGTGCAGGTAATTCAATACATTATGTGCTATTTCTTTAAAAATCAAACGTGTAGAAATCATAAAATGATTGATTTTATTTGCTGCATGCCATAATTGTTGTAAATCATTGGCTGAGATCAATGTGAATAAATAAGCTACCTCATACATGTAATACGGAGACTGCATGTATCCAACAGCGCCCTCCTGTGACTACGGTAGATCAGTCCTGCACTGCATAGTGAGTGTAGTCCAGTCATTGTTTGCTCCTGCCAGACTTCATCAGCATGAACAGAAGTTTAGAATCAGGGCCAAAATGAAGGCAAAGATGCTTTGGAAAATGATAAATATAAAATAAAATTGACATTAATTCATGAGACCTACAAGCACTCATGAGATCTGTTATGTAATGGAACTTTGAGAATTTAAAGTTTTCAAATTTATACGAAAATTTCACACTGAATTCCTTTTGCCATGCACTAGTTACGTATCACTATAATTAAGGCATTTGCCTGATGACAGACAGGACATATTGACTGAAATGTCAAGTTAACACCTTGGGTTCTCATAGAGACAATCGCTTCACTCTACAAAGCGTATCCCTGCTATCAGCAAACAAAAACCTCTACCTTTTAGACATGAGGGAAAGCCACTTCTACCAACAAATCAAGGAGCATCAGCTTGATTGGCTCAGACATCAGCTCTGCCCCTCAGCTATGGCTGCTTCATCTGGAGTTCCTGCCATAGCAGATGCCAAATGGGGGGGGGGGAGAGAAAATAGGCAATGAAATTAAAGTTCAAACTTCCATCTCAACATTAATTCCCACAAAAAAAAACAATACAAAATCTGTATATAATTATTACACAAGAAGTTGAGACAGGGACAAAAAATGAATGGAATATTCCCATCTACTATCAACTACACCTGTCAGCTTATTGCACATAAAAGTCTAATCCATAGTTTGCAAGATAAACACAATGGCATGAAAAAATAAACAAACTACAGAAAAACACACACATAAAACATTTAACAATACAAATGTACATAGGCCTACATTGATAAAGAACAGGAATAATGACAAAATAAATAAGACTACAAAACGAATGCTTGTATAAAACAATACTTAGGCCTACATTGATAAGGTACAGAAATGACATAATAAACAAAAATACAAAACAAATGCTTGTATAGAACAATACCTAGGCCTACATTAAAAAAGTACATGAATAATGACAAAATAAACAAAACTACAAAACAAATGCTTGTATAAATAAAGCAATAGATAGGCCTACACTGACAAAGTACAGAATTAAGGATAAAATAAACAAAACAAACAAAACTAATGCTTATTTAAAACAATACCTAGGCCTATATTAACAAAGTACAGGAATGGCAAAATAAACAAAATTACAAATTCTTGTATACAACAACAAGTAGGCCTACATTGACAAAGTACATGAATAATGACAAAATAAACAAAACTACAAAACAAATGCTTGTATAAAACAATACATAGGCCTACATTGACAAAGCACAGGAATGACAAAATAAACAAAACTACAAACAAATTCTTCTATAAAACAATACAAAGGCCTACATTTATAAGGTGCATGATTTAACATTTAAAATGCAACATGAAAACCTGTGGATTAACCAATAAATAAAAAAAAACAATAATGAAAATATACATAAATGAAATTAGAACTAGAAAAACAAATACCTGTAGACTGCCACGAACTTATAAATTAACTAAGTGAGAGGACAATACTCTTTCAAACATAATTACAATGTATACCGACCACAATCCTGAACCCTGGACTAGATATCACACCACATTGCATACATAATATAAGGAAGACATAAGATGGATAAAATAATAAACAAATAGGCCTTTAAATAACACAATTAAATACAACGATATAAACAAATACTAAAGTCTCTTCAAACAAATCTGCCAAAGATGTTTCTACAACACTGCAAGTTACCCAAGTAGGCCTATCGAATCTCTCTTTCTTAATCCCCATAAAAAAGTTTGCATGCAAATTTTCAATAAAAAAACTAGGGTCTCAAATTTGGGAGTCCTGAACTTTAGGGATATGGTAAAACTAAATAATAAAGCTTTAGATAAAATTGCGGTGTGGGATAAAAATGCACATATAAAGAAAGTTATTTTGTTAGTGCATGTGTATTAATAAGTTGTATAAATAAATTGAAACTGACCTGAATGTCATCTTGAATGGAGAACATCACCTGAAAGGAACATTTTCAAAAAGAATTATTGAACATTGTCAAAAAGCATTTCATTTTATTTTACCTTATTTTATTTATTGTTGTTTATCCTGGGTAAAATCTGCTGTTATTTAAACTGTGTTTACTGATGCCCACCGAGATTTACAAAATAAATATAATTGCAATAAATATAATACCAGTCAATAGAAATTAGATGTTAAAACTAGTAATCAGAAAAAAATAAAGCACAGATAACAAATGTAATACAAAATTATGACCACCCCCCCCCAAAAAAAAAAACTAGTAAGCCTATATCCACGAGAAAAAAAAATACATTGATAAGTACATGTACAGGAATTAACATTCAAAATAAAGCATAAATATACCTAAAATGAAGAAACCAGTACAACTGAAAACAAAATGTAATGAAAATACCCATAAATGAAATGCATGTAAATAAAAACTGGAAGAATATTTACCCTAATTATATTACTACAACATATAAATAAACTGATTGAGAGGACAATTCCAAAGCAAACATTTACCCACCACAATCATGAACCACGGAATCATGCCATATTACACTGACATACAAGACAAAAAAAGTGAATAAATAAATAGGCCTAAAATACAATAAAATTAAAAATAAATAAGAGTAAAGTAAGTCTATTCAAGCAAATCTGCAAAAATTGTATTACTGCAGTTAACAAGGTAGGCCCACCCGATCCCTCTGCTGTTTTCTTCCCACAAACTTACACAAAATGTGCTGTCCTTTAATTTGCTCGGCTGAATCATTCAGGAATAGGCCTACGCTACGGTATTCAATCAAAACTAAAGGGTAACAAAAGATAACATTGATGTGTAGTGTGGGATATAAAATATGTACAGGTTCAAAATAAATTAGTTTTTAAGGATATTAAAGTAGGCCCAACTTTCCAATGCACGAGGGCGTAGTTTCATAAAGCATGTTTCAGAAAGCTCCAATAACAACACTCATTATACATATCTTGGTATTAAAACAATGGAGGAAATAGAAAATTGCGACCCCAGCCATGCAGGTTACCTCAGTGTCTTCCTATATCCCCCACCCATTCCCCCAAAACACGCACAACGGTTAACCCATCCCCCCCCCCCCCCCCCCACCCCTGCATTTGCCAACTTGTTTATAAAACTACAATTTCTGCTTTTGAAGTAGAGGCTCAATATTACTGGTTCAGAAAGTCAAAACAACGCACCTTGAACATCCAAACGGTTCCATTATGGCCGCCATGTCACTGAGCATGCAACGCCAAACTTTGTGCCCAGTCCGAATTTTTCCTGCCCAAAACATCCCCTCAGAGACTACGAAGATCACAAATTGATAGCCAAAACACTTCTAGAAGTGCTCTAAAACAACATGAAATGGTCTGCTTGTGATGATGCATAATTTAAAAAGAGAAATTTACGGCTGAAAATTGATTCAGCAATCCTGCGAACCAAGCTCAATGAAGCCGAGCAGGAGAGGACGCATGTGCGCCAAAATTGAAAAGGAGGCCAAAGCACGTGTGCGCCGCCGCAGTTTGTGGGTTGTTCCATTTAAGATTTTCGCACTACGTGGACCGGATTTGGGAGGGGAATATTTCGATGGCTAATATAATTCCACAATTAGTTCGCAGGGACAGACTACATGTATAGCGAACTTTTTTTATCTGTTTATGATCCGGAACAAGTAATATTTTCGAAGAATTAATCTAAATTTTTAAAATTGAATTTCCCATAATTCGCATCTGAAACATTATGCATTTGGGGCCTGCCACCCTCCTATTTTGGATGTGAAATTTTACTAAATTTTTAATTAAAACAAATACACCATATTACTGACAGATATACGTTAATACTGATGAGTCCTCATCAATATTCATTTTATTTTACACTTCGATTCTCGCCAATGAGGTAATAAACTGACAGGCAAGATAAAACATTCAGCAAATACATCATTCATGAGCACCTTATAAATATGTAAAATATGTAATTTGCATATTCTTATAGCTTATTACTTTGCATACTTCATGACATAACGTTGCTATCTACAGAATATTTAAACACAGTGGAAGTCTAGGTCGACGAAGCTTTACAACAGTCATTTACAAAACAACAAAATAATTAAATAAATTATTCTTTGACTTAGACATGAGGAACTTTAAAGTTAAAAAAGTGTTTTATTTAAGATCATAGTGCTACAAAATTTCACGTAAGACCAAAGGTATAAGCAATCCTGAAATTAAGTTGTATCTGACTGAAGTAATATTGGTATAAGTATTCATGCTTTCAGCCCGGTCACTTACAAGCACAACTTTAATACTGCGAAATCCTTATCGGTAAACAACTTTTACGCAAGGTAGGGGACGAAATGAATCTTCAAAGATAAGAGAACTTTCATTTGAACTTTTATCTGAGGAGGGCTACACAGCTGCATTTCCAAATGTACAACAAAACACTGACACCTGCAGGGACTCAACTCAACTTTCCCACACAAAAGTCTCATATTTTAAACTTCCGATTTCAGCCAAACAATTAAAAGACCAACTACATCGCGTTCAGCAGGCCACTTCAGGGGCCAATCTTGAGAAGCTGGGTTTGGTGGCTCCTTAAAAAAATGTATTTACCGACAATTAAAAACAAAAGTAATAATGACCTTAAATTTGTATTTGTTTTCCACGCACTGAATGCATGCACATCAGACCAATTATGATACAGTGATAAACAGGTGTATTTTTTTTATAATGTATTATGTATACATATTTACAAGTAAAATCCATTACCTACAATTTCAACAGCAAATTATGCATACGAGGCACATTGTGGAAACAGATTAGTGAAGTATAAATCTCTGATTGTCATTCAGGAGAAGAAAAAAAATTAAATCGTATGACCAATCCAACTTTTAAGAGGGTTATATAGGGTCTAGGAAAAAAATTAATTGACAAGTTTTGTCTGTTAATTTCACACAAAATTTTGTCAGTGATCTTCCACATAATTGTTTGCTTTAAATCCAATTTCTTTTCTATCCACTTGACTTGTTCCAAAAAAATAAAACAACACATTTTCTACTAAGCCATGTCTGGTACATAAATAACACGGGAATTCTTTAGGGGCACTACATATACATAACCTGCAATATGACATCCTGCAATATACTGAAAAACGAATCTTACATGTACAAAAAAGTTGAACATTTATTATGAGAAATGTCGAGAAGAGATGAAGTTTCCGTCCCTCTTTTTTTTAACCAAATCAGGAAAAATTGGAACCAAAGGTCATTAGTTTTGTCTTTTGACATTTTTTCCAGATAACCTCCTACACACATGACCATGTTTATCTTCAAGTTTTCTGTAAAACACCAACAGAGCCAGACAAAAAAACACACAACATAAACACTACCCACCATTTCGTATGGCCAAAAGCAATCTTAAATAAAACAAATAAATAAATAACTGGACAGCATACTGCTATTAACTATTTATATTATTTACGGCTAAAATTGCATGATTGGAAACAGCATTTCAGGCATTTTCCTCATACAATTTGTTTTTACGAATACTTCTTTTACAAAAAAACATCTGTGCATGAATATGTACAGCTTAAAAATGACTGACTACATGAAATCGACTTCCAAAAAAGCAAAAGAAAGTTACTTATCCCTTTGAAAGGATCAGTCATGATTATGAATATTCATTTGGTATTATCACAAAAGCTATATTGTATTACATGCATACATTCCAATAAAAATGCATATTCATTTTTCAGTGTCCAATCAAATGATGTAATGTTCTTTGTACATATTCATTAAGAATTTCAGCCAATAAACATGAAATATACTGGTCATAGTTCAGCTGTACTCTTATTTACAAAAAACTAGTGTACACCCTACAGACAGTCCACACATATTCCAGATAAAAAGAGCTGCTCCTTGAGCTAACTTTTCTTTAAGTTTAAATAAAAAGAAATTAGTTTAATATAAAACCACAAATATCTTTAAAAATATCAAGGCATTTCTCAAAATACTTTACTTGACATTTTCCCCAGAATAACAGTGGTAAACTTATTTGACAAAAATGCAGTTAAGACCTGTTATGAAATTTCAGGCACCCAAGAGGAAAAGAAAACATAACCATTATATAGTTTTACCCCGGCCCAACCCCAGACTGGGACCGACCTAGAGTGCAGAAAAACATGAAAAACAAGATCAGGCCAACTTTACTCACTCTTTACCCAACAAAATTCTCAAAAAAAATTCACCCAAGGCAAAGGGAAGGTCCTCAGTATTTCACCAGCCAAGTTTTAGGTCTTAATTCAAATTGTTAAACACATTTTTTTCAATATTTTGCACCCGTGTGTGAAGCCAAGTGATTTCAATATGAAGCCAAAGACTAGACTGGTATAATTTCAAACTTTTTTGAAAAAGATTGACCATTCAGTAGTCTGGTGGCATGACTATTGGGAGTGTGTAGAAAAAGACTAGACACCAAACGTTTCTTTTGACACAGTTGATTGATGCAGTATTGAAGGGGTGTTGCACTGCTTGTTTCATGTGCCAGTCTATTTTCTTGTGTTGCATGTTTTCACTATCTTAAGTTCTGGGAATCTCATCAACAGTATTGAGAGTCCCAAATTGTCGGATTAGCCCAACCCTAGCAAACACTTGCTGGTACTTCCTGAAGATTCAGATTCCGCTGTCAGTTAATGGTGGATGGAATTTCTGCCCGTTTTTGGACCCAATTGAGGGGTGGTCAATAAGCACACAATAAGCAGTTAAAATTTGCGTTCTAAGAATATTTGACATAAATCAGGACAAATCCAAATATAGTTAAGAGGTGTAGTTTCTGAAGATTAAGATTGAAAACACAGTGTCAGCATTTGAGATCTTTGTAAATTAAAATAATTTGAAGGGCACTTTTTTCCCAAACAAGCTACTGGTTTCAGTGTTACCTCCAACGAAAAGCAGTTCTGGGCAGTCCTTTCTCAATTATCAAAGCACCTTAATTTTAAACACAATGTTTTCACCTTCAAAACATTTCCACTGTACAGTGTGAGTAACAAAAAACCGAAACCCAAATGTCGGGGCTATTGTTTTAGTAAAGTTTTTCTACATGTAGCACTTTCAAAATCTAGGTGTGCGTTCGTTCAGCAAAACGACAACAATTCACACGTCCCAATGTGATTTGTTTTTGTTTAGCTGAAAGAACACTTACCTTTTTGTGATTCGTGGACAGAACTTTAAAACGGTGGTTGTATTTAAAATTCCGTAACTTGAAAATTACATCAGTGATTTGAATGATTCTTGTACTAAAAGAGAGCTTATGAATTAGGCTTTCTTATCCTAGATTTTGCAAGTGCTACATGCAGAACTTCACTGGTACCGACATTTGGGTTTCGTTTGTTTTTTTACTCACCCTGTAGACTTCACAGCTTTGAGAACACACATTTTCCATTTGTTTCCTTGCTTACTGCAGCAATTTCATTATTGAAATTCCCAATGTTGTTTAAGTCACCATGGCAATGACCCACACACTTCTCATGCAGACACTGTTTCCCCAAATAGAATACAATAAAAAATATATAACTTTTTTATTATAAGTATTTTTGTCTCTCTTTTTTTAATTTCTTTTATTGTTTATAAATCTGCTATATGTACATATCCATACAGTGTAGTACTAAAAATGACACAATGGGAACCAGCTTGTGCCAGGTACCAGGTGGCAGATGGTCCGTAACTTGGCAACGAGTCCAGTCCACGTGTCAGATTGTAAATTTCAAGTCTTTCAAGGTTGGTAATAGCAGCATTCTGGTAGCGGTAACCCATTTGAACCCTGCAAAAAAACACAAACATGGATAAAGTGTTGTCAAACACAAAAGCTAAATAGATTTTTTCCTTTGTAAATTCATCCGTTTACACACTTCAATCTGTGGTCACATCCTTCACATCTGCACCCTTACAATTCCGTGCACACCTTTCAAAAGAGTCTGGTACCATCAATAATTTCATAGCAACACCCTTGACATGCAGGCCTAGCATCAGGTTTTAACCCTAACCCCAGCCACATGCTCCAAACCTGTATCACATACATGTCCTCGTGAGTTTTGGAATCTCCAAGCCACTACTTTCAAGACCTTACAACAACATTCAAGCCAAGCCACATCTTCCCCCAATCCAAAGGCATGCCCTCGAGCCTTCAAGCACCAGCCACATCCTTTAACACTGCCACATCATCAAATCCCTAGCCACACCCTCAAGCCAAAGCTGCACACCCTAAAGCTCAACCAAATCCATTAACCACAAGCCACACCCTTAAAGTCAAAGCCACACCTCTAAAAGCCGCAGACCATCAAACTGAAGCCAACCCCAAACCCAAAGCAACATCCCATGAGCCATAGCCACTCTCAAAAGCCCAAGCCACACCCTCAAACTCAAGACACACCCTTCAAAACCAAGCCACACCCCCCCCCCCCTCTTTCCATTATCACACCCATCTGTATCTCACAACCTGTCTATCAGCCATGGGTCATTAGGTCTTGGGACAGCACTGAAGGTCAGATCCACTGAGTAGACTCACCACGGGGACCGGCGCGTCCAAACCAGGGGGCCCTGGATCACCAGGATAACCTTTGATCCCTTTCCTTCCTTTCTTTCCTTTGCTGCCCTGCATTGACAAAAAAACCATCCAAAAAAAATTCCTTCAGCTTCTTAGAGCTTAATCTGCAGTTACTCCATCTTATAATATTAATAAGAAGATCCAACAGTCCTTACATAAAACTAGAATTATTGTGTGTGTACTTGCTCTATGATACATGCGTACTTTTAATTTGAAATTTGAGATTTTACAGATGAAATTCTGACAGATAAGTCATGTACTAACTGACTTTTACAAGGTCATGCATTGGCAGCATAGCACAATCACGAAACAAATTAATAGCAACAGAATGAAAGGTGAACTAAATCATTTATATAATTTCATTCAAAGTTCACTGAAAGACAAAGCACGGAACACTAGACTCATATGCACAACAGCCAATCTTTGAGCACAACTTTTCTGTTCTGTTGGAATGTATAGACCTTTAGGCCAAAAAAAAAAAGTCTCCGGTTTCTAGTATGCGCGCGCGTCACCGTAGCCATGCGCGTTGGCAAAATGAACAAGTTTTTTTTTCAATGAAAGATGATGTCTCAAAACCGCCAAACTCACTGGTTTGACTGGAATCCTGCTGCTGCACAATTTTAACGTGTTTTTAGATTGGGTTATGGTCGAGAATAAGCTTTATGTGGCCTCTCTGGACTCCTATATATTTGCACTAAGTTTAGTCGGGCAACATTTGCAGTCATCAGCCGACATTTGAAGCAAAAAAATCAGGTAAAAAAACAAAAAAGCCGCGTCGCCGCACCACTTTTTGGGCAAGCTCCATACCAGAAACCGGAGACTTTTTTTTTTGGCCTTAGTGTATTCATCTTTACTGAATTAAAAAAAAATAACATATAAGATGGCCGCATAAGGTACATGCATAGTTTGAAACAAAGCATTAGGCTAAGCCAATAATCCCTTTCTGTTAATCCTGTGAGGGATTTACCTGCTCTCCTTTTAATCCTTGATCCCCCTTTACACCTGTTGGACCAGCCTCACCCTGAATTCCTTGTGGACCCTAAAGCACAATGCATCATCACCAAATTAATGTTTATGAAAGCAGCACAAAATAATGAAGCAAAATCAACAATATTTTGAGAAAAAAAACAACATGCATATCAGGCATAAGAACGCAAATGCAAACAGCCAAAGAAGGATTTGTGCAATTTGTTTTTGAATTTTCAATTCATAGCAACAGCAAATTTAGATATAAAATCCTAGAAAAGAGGACAGCTTGATTTCAAAAATAACATAAGTTACAAAAAAAATGTATAAAATACTCACCTCTTGTCCTTTTGGACCCGGTATACCCTGTAAACAAGCAAAGGAAAAGATTGGGAAAGTGGGTAAAATAGGAACAACACATCACACATTTTCAGACAAGAAAATGATGTGTTCAAATCAAATGGGGAGTCAGGTTGGCATAGTGGTACTTTCCTCACCTTTCACCGCTGTGACCCGGGTTCTAATCCCGCCTGGGCCAACATGTGGATTGGCTCCCATCCCTAGAATGGTAATTTCTACTCATTGTCTCCTCTCTACAGGTTCCTTCAGGCTTGCGAGCTACAGTGCCTAGGGCACTTTTGAGGAGTCCTTGGTTTCATTTATACCAAATAAACAATAGTAATAAAATCAACAAAATTAACTGGCTTGACGTTGCAGTCTTAACAAGAGCCTTCAGAGGCAAACGACGGTGGTACAAGCAACAAACATGCAAGGGACACACAAGCATGCAGGGGTGGAAGGAGAAACACACAGAAGGGATTAAGGACCAAGGGAGTGTGACAGTAGGTGAAGATCATCCCTCCTATCTCAACCCCCTCCCCTTGACCCTCAACCACATCACACTCCTTTGTTCCTTCAGGCCCCATCCCCATTCTCTTCATTTCTTACCATTCCTCCCTTTGGTCCTGGTCTGCCAACTTTCCCTGGTTCTCCAACAAGGCCCTGTGACACACAGAAAAAAACATCAACTTAAGTTCCGTCATTTAGAAGTTAACAAGAAAAACACCAGGCAATTTTTACTTCAGGAAACAATACTTCAGAAAACGAAAACAACATGTCAAATTCTCAGCTGTGGAACTTATACTGGAAGCCCGCGTGATGCATGTACAAAAACATGTACATGATGTACATGTCACACGGACATTGGCCGTTTATGCTGTGTTTACGTTCGTTTCCCCCTGTGACGTGTCGGGGGTCACAGTCATATTTAATACATAATGAGCGTTCCGGAATCCGGGGAAAATGTGTTTCTCAGCGGTCCATGTTCGTGACATTTTCCAGCATAAGAGGTCAGCTGTGGTCATTCTATGTATTAAATTGAGGAGACAGTCTTATTGCCTGTTGTTGAAAGGCTTATTGCTGAAAAACAAGTTCTGTTTTAGTTACACTTTAAATAAATGTATGTTATCTAAAAAAAAAAAAAAAAAAAATCCAAACTGAAAAGGAACAAAAACAACTGTTTTGTTTTGTTACATTTTTCCTTTAAGCCCAAACCAAAGCACTTAAGTCTAGCACCCTGACTTACCATAACTCCTTTTGGACCAACTTCACCTCGTTCCCCAGGCTCTCCATTGCTACCCTGGAAGGTTATTGATAATACGAATGAGTAAAAAGGCAAAATAAACCCTCTTAAATGTAACACGAATACTGACTCAAACGCATGTGACACAAACAACAGAACATAACCTGAAAACAATTTTGAAGTTAGTAAGAAAAAGATATTTATTAGTACATGTAGTAGTAAACAAGTAACGATCAAACACCATATGAAGCTGAAATATTCGGGGAAAAGGAATTAAATTGTCAGTATGTGATGAGACGAACGAGAAAAAAATTGCTGACATGAAAGAAAGCAATTAGTATGTGAGAATGGTTGAATTAACAAAAAAGAAATGTTAGTAAGAGAAATCGGTTATGATTAGAACTGAACTGAAGCTTTCCAGTGAAGGTACAGGATTCAAGAAAACAACATTTGGAGAAAATTGTGGAGAAAATGGGAAAGAAAGTGGTTAATATGTGAAACACAGTTTGTGTGTAAAAAAAAAAGCATGTTAGTGGGTGAAAGCGGTTAGTCTTGAATTGGACTGAAAGCCTTTTAAAACATTGGACATCCAGTCAATTCAGTACAAAGCTAAATGGGAAGAAAGCAGCGCAGCACAGTTGCTTTAAAATCATGAATGTTAGTAGGAAAAAGTTAGTTTGAACTAGGACTGAAAGCCTTGTTTACGTACAGCAGGACCAGTCAATCCGAAGGATCCCTTGTCTCCTTTTGCTCCGTCTATTCCTGGTCTTCCCATAGGACCAGGAGGCCCAATCGTGCCTTTGATTCCCTGTGACATATCAATCCGCCAATTAATACAAAGATATAGAACGATTGCATGAAAAACAAAACTTGTTTATTAACCCTTTAGCATTATTTAGTCCTTGATAAATATAGAATATAATATTGCGCTGGGACAGTTTGGGGCAGTATAAGGAGTAATAGGCGGGGCACTTGTGGGCGGTTCAAGGACAAATTGGTTAAAAAAGGGAAGGTTTATATCATCCTAGGTCTTCTGTTTTGCAAAGAGGGTGAAACAGTCGATACTCAAAGAGCGTTGTACCTGCTGGCCTGGTGTGCCCGGTGACCCGGCTTCGCCTGGTAACCCATCATCTCCCCTATCACCTTTCACACCCTAGAAATACAAGAGGATGAATAATTTACATCAAATAACAAAAGACAGGTATTCATGGATGAAAACATGGATATGTTTTGCTTTAATCCTTCAACGTGTGTTATTTTCCAAACAAATTAAACTAGTGAGGCGAGGTTTCTATACAATGAGGTTCTGCCATGGCCAACTCTCTTTAACAGATGTTTTGAACTATTGTACACAACATCCGTTTTGAAGATTGAAAATGTTGCCACTGAGAAAAATGACAAAGACTATTAGTACACATTTGTCTGGCATGACCACATGACTACCTACAGGCGATCCGATTGGTCCAATCTCTCCGTCGCTGCCTTTCTCTCCTTGTAAACCAGGAGATCCCATAATGCCTTTCGGTCCAGTCAATCCCATCGTACCCTCACCTCCCTGTTTTTAAAAATGATGATGCAATGATCACAGAAATTAGACAAGACTTTCTTCCAAATAAAATATCACATTTCTTTCACACACAAAATCTTTCTGTCTTAACAAAGGAAATGACAGGGCAAAAATATAACATACACAAGCTTTGCATCAAATTGGAAGAATTTTTCTTCAAAATCATCCTTATTTAAAGAAACAGAGTGTAACTGCGTACAGACACCACATGCATGGGTTGGCCTGTAGTTTGCTTTAGACCATCAGTTCGGACAAAGACTAGATCTGAAACGATCAGAATGAAACTTAAATGTTAGTATGATGGGGAAGAGGTTAGTTCTTGGAGATGTTGAAGATTGTACCTTAGGTCCCGTTGCCCCTGGCAATCCTGCATCGCCCTTCATGCCTGTTTCTCCTAGTTCACCCTAAAAAAAATATCACGAACGTAACATATACATATTAATTATTCTCCACTGAACATTATTTTTTTATAAAGAACAAGTCCGTCATTTCAGCAATAGCAAAAACCAAAATCTGTGCAAATTATCCTGCCATGATAAAAATTCCGAATACTTTATCATGAATTGGAGGAACTTTCATCATCTTTCACTTTTGTGACCCGAGTTAGAATCCCATCCTACTTAGACAAGGTTTTCAACAACAACCTGATTAAGTGGGTTTACCCCTGGATAATTATCCTGCTGTTTTCCTCCAATCTCAAAAATTCAACACTCTTCATCATCTTCTCAAAGAGGGTTTCTTCAAACTTCGGAGTCACATTGCCTGAACAATTTTGCAGAACCTTTGGTTTCATTATCATAATGAATGAAGTTCCAACGAAGCATAATTTGAGTCATGATTCGTACCTTTTCTCCCAGCGTTCCTGGCAAGCCTCGGTCACCTGTATCTCCTTTGCTTCCTTCTGGTCCCATTTGGCCTGGAATCCCATCACGCCCATCTGTTCCATTTAATCCCTAGAAACCAAAATCATTCAGGAAAGAAAATGTCTATAATTGAACAAAGATTGTGAAATAACTCGATTCTGTTTTCCAAGTAAAATCCTAAGCTGTATAAATTTAAAACTAGTATCTCTTAGTTAGCACAATCCTCTAAACTTAACAAAGTATCAAACAACCTCCTATTATCACTTGAAAAAGTCCTTCTTACACCTCAAAAAATTGAACAATCCGGCACTGAAATTTATGGCTATATATTAAAATAGATACTTCTGAAATCTTATAAAGAGTTATTTCTTTATTGCTCACAGGCTTTGAAAAAGACAGAGTAGCAGCACATCCTGACTTAAAATAGGAACACAAAATAACCCAAACTAATAAAGTAGTGCAAAACGCTGACGTTCACTGATGTTTTGTGGTCACTCCACCAGCTGAATCTTGCAGTTTATACTTCAAATACACATATTTGTTGACTAAAAGAACTTTGAAGCTTCATGGTCTACAACCGGGGCACTTCATAGAAAAGCTCTACAACCGGTACCCTGCCACTTGTAAAAACAATGCTTAATTACTCCTATTTTGTAGTTCCCCGGTTAATACTTTACAATTGTTCACTTCCTTTTTTTTTTGAAGTAACAGAGTGCTGATAGCAAAAGTAGCCAATTGTCAGACAAGAATTGTAAACATTAATTGACAACACATATTTTCTATCCAATTCCCAACTGGTAAGCTCACAAAATCTTAATAATCAACAGTAAGAATTACTGATGAGTCAGAGTGTCAATTGTCCACAAGATTTCAGATGCATCTTGTTAAAACCTGAGAAGAGTGAATGTTAGACAAAGCAAAACAAACATGCACAAACCAAAATCCAGAGGCGCTTTGGGTTATGTTATGGCAAGTAAGTATTTACAGCGAGAGGGATAACATGATGACCTGTAAGACATCACAACCTTAAATCCGTGCAAAAAGTGACCCTTGTGACAGAATTTTATTAATGACTTTCAAATGTAGAAAGTACGGTGCTGTACTTGCACAATGAAATTCATTTCTTCAGCTTGAATACTCCCGATAGTTTCCACTTTCTAGAGTTCCAAGCAAACAATGTAAGTATATATTCTGTAAATATTTCTGAACTGACGTTCATCATTACATATTCTTGACAACACTGATGTTAACGTAAGCTGGATGGTAGCACAGCTGTTAGTAGAATTAGGTTCTGCTTCAGCGTCCGATTTGTCTCCCCAATGCCACCCTCCCCACGCCCCTCCCCCATCCCTCACACTCAATGTTCCCATAATGGATTTTTGTTAAGCTATCAAGACCATGCCATGTAATTTTTCTCAAGATTAATAATTGCACTGCACAAGTGTCATTTTATCATTAACATCACTTTATTTTCAGTATTGCATGCCATCCTTTTTTAATTCTTTTTGAAATCATACAAGTTATGGTAGGTAACTGCTGAAGACTGTCGTGATTTTTTGGGGAGTTTGTCGTCCTAATTTGAGCCCAACATATTTCTGTGTCAGCATCCTTTGAAGAATTTCTGATGTTAGTTAGTACGATGGTCTCGTGACCAGAGACGTTCCACTTCCGGTTAATGCTTGTTACACCTGTTTCAGATCAGGGGTTCCAGAGTCATGCTGAACCAACCTTTTAAGAGGAACTCAGGTCGACAAAAGTAGATTTTGGTTTCAGGCAGGCAAACTTTATTTAGTAATTTGTCACTGACAAGACTCTGCGTCAGTTCAAACAAATGCAACCATCGATCTTTCCTTCAAAGTCCCGGTAGTTGCTCGTAACTGTTTCAATCGTCGAACTTGTCACGTACTTAATTCAGATCTGCGGATGACTTGGTTAGCGTGACTCTAGAACGCCATTCTGAAACGGATGTTAGAGGGATTTGGCAGCCCAGGGGAGGTGACATGCTCATCACATGCTACCACGTACCCTCTTGCCCCTTCGCCCAGATTTCCCCCAGACTCCTTTCTGGCCTCGCGGGCCACGCATTCCCTAGAGAACAAAATACAGGCTGGCTAAAAACTACTGGCAAAAAAATATCTCAAAAAAATCCTTCAAGTCAGCACTTAGGTTCTTTAGTTGCCTTAGTGTACATGTATTGGAATTTAATTTGGGGACGGTGCATTGACTGAGTTGTCCGTGTAAAATTGGGGTGGTTTCTTAACTGTTTTTGTGGGATTTTCTTACTCCTACATTTAAATGGATAATCTTTCGTTGTTTTCTGTGTCGTAGTCACCCCTCACTGTTACAAACATCACAATTTTAATGTATTTAATTCAGATTTGTGGAATAATTTGGTTCGCGCAGCTGTAGACTGCCAGTCTAAAACGGAAACTAGAGGGATTTGGCAGCCTAGGAGAGGTGACATGCTCATCACATGCTACCACGTACCCTTTCGCCCCTTCTCCCAGATTTCCCCCAGGCTCCTTTCTGGCCTCGCGGGCCACGCATTCCCTAGAGAACAAAATACAGGCTGGCTGAAAACCTCTGGCAAAACAGAATCCTCTAAAAAGCAGTCAAGCTGGCACTTGGCTAATTTCCTTGCTTCTGATATATGAAGATTGATTCAGGGATGGTGTGTTGACTAGGTTCTCTGTTCCAAATTGAGTTTGTTTCTCAACCAACAGATCTAGAAAGCATTGTATGAAGCGTCTCAATTTACTCTAGGAGTTCTGAAGTTCCCATTATACCGCAGTCCAATTTGAAAAACCTCCATTTCCAACATTTGAGTCTTCCATCACTGCAAGCTTAAGGTCTGTGTTCGCTCCTATTTATCAATGAACAAACTTCACAAACTTCACAAAATGGAGGAGTATCTACTTTTTTCTAAATGGGATTTGCAGAGTTTGACAACATCTACACTGCTCTGAAGCAGAGAAAGCTTGTACAGGAGTTAAATAAACAATGAAGGTGCAGAGGTTATGTGTGAAATGGTGCAGACTATGTAACTACTGAAAGCTCTACAAGAAAGTCATGTCAACGGCCGTACTTAATGCCAAACCTAGAAAGAAGTTGAAGTAGTGCAGTGGCATAACGGAGAGAAACAATAAAAATAGAGAGAAACAATCAAAATAGAATATAGAAACTTTCTGAAGTGGGAAAGGAATGAAGGAAATGAAAAATTTATGGATCTTACAGGTACTCCTCTTTGTCCGGGGAGTCCGATATCGCCAGTGTCTCCCTTGGATCCGGGCGGACCCTGCAAAAAAAGAGGAAAACTTTATTCCTTAAGATATTTGTTCTGCAAAGAAGTATTCATTTCAAGATGCCACAGAAATAGGGCTCGACAGTTTGATTCTGGCAGAATCTTTTTTTAAAGATAAAATGACAGGGGAACAGTAACAAACATACAGGAAACAGGGACAAAAGGGAAAAGACAAGGGAGGAATCATTTTGGATGCCAGATGGGAGAATAAAAGATGGGCAAACAGAAAATGAAGGGACATTTGGGGTGTGAAGAGATGTCAGATAACAAGTGAAATAGCTATTAAAAAGTCTTAATTGAAAATAGAAATATTTTTCCATTAATCACACAAGAAATAAATACAAATGGAATGATAAAACTTTTACATAATAATTATATAGAACATCCTGGGTACATTACAAGCAAAACAGACGCAAGTCATGCAAGATAGCTCACTAGTCATAAAACAGTCACAGGTTATCTAAACAATCCCTTAACCTATAACCACATAAGACACAGAAATACATTGCACCAACTCAACACCTGTTTCATGCGTGATTCTTTCTCACCTGCATGATACCAAATTCACTGATAATAGGGCCTGCACTACCCTTTTCTCCCTTTTGCGATAGCATGAAAAAGAGAGCAATTTTATTGAAAGATACAGAATTGGAATTGCTGACGTAAGTATATATTTGTTTTCTACAGGTGAATACAACCGTGACTAAAAACATAAATGATTGTCCATATGGCCCAATTACTTAAACGACAGACATTAATTTCCAATGCTGAATTGTTTAATTACCTGTGTTCCGGGCAATCCTGGTTTTCCCATTGGTCCAGGCAAGCCAGGTTCACCAGCATCACCCTAGGAATGTCGAAAACATTAAACAAAACAGTTTGGTAGACAGTTAAAGCTGGACATTGATATGCCCAAGATTTATGTTTGGAAAATGGCCTGTCACCAACCACAGCCTATAGACGATGCATTGCAACTGATAATAAATTAACATCCGAGAAGCCTGATATAATTTCATCGAGCATGAAATCCAATCAAAACGCAATGATTCCCATTTTTTTTACAACTCTTATTGTACTAAAGTGCACATGCATGATAACATACATGTATGTGCTAGCAGTAAGTATATCACTGGTAGCTAGAAAACAACCAATCCAATTTATTTCTAATTGTTGGCGAGCTTACCTTCATTCCGTTTAGTCCAGGAATACCTTCAGGTCCTTGGGGTCCAGCGGGCCCAGGAGGTCCCTGCATCAACTCAGCATTCGTTCCCATGTCTCCTTTCTCTCCCTGTAATCAAACAAAGACACAGCATTTGGGTTATCTAGAGAATCGTGTTATCTTGGACTGACTTGCATTTGTGCTGGGACTTAGGGACACAGTGCAGAGGTACCTCCTTACTCGGTTACTTTTAATTTCAGGAAGTCCATTCAACAGAGACTCTTAATAGAACACGACCAATTAGTGAGTAAGTTCAACTTTTGAGATCCTTTACTCACCATGCGTTGAGCCGAGAGTCAAATTTCTTACCTTTTCACCAGGTAACCCAGGGAGGCCTGCTCTGCCCGAAGGACCCTGTAACAACAGAAAACAACTTAGTATTAAAATACGAGTCTCTGAAGTCAGACCTTTCAAGCTAGCTCTACTTGCTCTACTTGCTCTATTCAAAATGAGGTATCTCCTCCACTAAACAGGTGCTTCTCTTCATGATCTAAGTGCTTCTTTCATAAAGCTGTTCAAAATTCACAAAACACAGGAAATCTCTCTTTACCAAAACAGGTGAACAGCCAACAAGTCATTGCTCGTGACTCGCTATTAGCTGATATATCCTTAGCACTTGAATTTCCTAAGAAATAGTTTGCACTTGAAGAAGTACGCAAAATGACATCCTGCACCTACCATGGCTCCCTCCTTGCCTGGACTACCCTTCTCTCCTTCTGGTCCCTGAAAAAAACAACACACACACAATGCATGACTTCATTTAACAGTGTAAATGAGTACAACTCCCAATGCAACACAAGCTTTCAATTTAAGAAATTCAGAAAAGCTACCAATTGAGGTGCGTATCTTGCTCAACTTTCGGCAGTGGATCAAAGACTCTTACTGATTGGTGGTGGATCCAGCATGTACACAAGGGGGGGGGGCATCCAAAATGGAGGCGAAACCTTAACATACAAGCAGGATATATATTTGCTCATGTGGGTGAAAATTATGTCTTGGAAGTGATTAAATAACCAGTTTACAGCAGCAGAAACGAAGGCAAAAGACAAGATGCACCTCCCAAATTTTTTTTTTTTAAATGGGGGGGGGGGGGGGCCTGCGCCCCTCGCTGGACCCACCGAAACAATGTGCCTTGGGGGTCAGTTTGAACTGCATGAAATCCAAACTGTCTCACGATACAACACAGCATATCTCCACTACAAAGTTCTGATCTATCCTCAACTGGATCGACCATGGACAAAAAGTTGGCAATCTGTTTAGATGTTGCTAAACAGTACTTATTTTGCACCATGAGTTTGAACATTCAAATAAATGGTGGCGCGAGCGTTATATTAGATATTCGGATGCTTACAGAAAAACCGGTACTCACCGTTGGTCCCACATCGCCGTCTTTACCATCCATACCATTGAAGCCTGGTAACCCATCAGTGCCGTTAAAACCATCTCTCCCTGGTGCCCCGGGAATGCCTTGAGTTCCCATCATGCCTGAGTCTCCTTTCTCACCCTGAAAGGCAAAACCATTCATCCAATCAGATTAAAGCTTTACCTCTTACATATGCATGAGTATTCATATTCCTGATGAGCCATTGTCATTAGCCGGTTAAAAAAATGATGCGGTATCAGCTTGACAGAAATACTCCTACATTCATGAATATTCAGTGCATTCATGAATATTCAGTGTATTCACACTCACTGTGATTGATTAACTGTTCTTTTCAAAAGATAATAGCAAATTACCTTTAATTTAACAGGCATATTCATAGTGTTTCAACACGAAGTAAAGATTCAAGTAACTTACTTTGACGGTAACAATTTTCATGTGTGTGTCTGGATCATAGCTGGTACCCGGCTGCCCAGGTGGTCCCATTGGTCCCTGGCAAAAATTAAATCAGTTATGGACGGTAAATTGACAAACACTGTTGTAAACTTCTTCACTTGGAACTGGGCAAACTGTGTTGAGATCTTGTTAGATTTACACAGATTTGAATTTGTCTCAGTGGAGTTGGACAAACTTTCAATTTGAGATGGAAACTTGAATGATTTGGTAAAGGCAACTTTGGGAACAATTCAAAATTTTATTTTTAAATCTATAAATTCTAAGAATTGAACAGAAAATAACTCACATCCAATCCAGATTCACCCATAATACCTTCCTGGCCCTGCAAAGACGAAAAAAGGAGATTATTTCTATTATCAATTACCATTATTGTGAAAAGAAATAGAACAGAGATCGATGTGAAAGACTTCTTCAATTTTTCTTCCATCACATATTATTTGAGCATGTATGCAGTAATCCATCTGCCAGTGGCAGACGGATTCTGCTCATCTATAAACACTCCTCTACAGATGAATCACTCAGGAAAGCTGATCAAGAGATAAATGAGATGAACATTCATCAAGCTGACCTACCTTTTGACCTCTGTCACCCTTTTGTCCTCTATCGCCCTATCACAAAGAAGAAAGCAACATTTTGTGTTCAATAGTTTTTCAACATGTTTATTTTTAATCTGCAACTTCTGAAAAACTGTACCATCTCTTTAACAAGTAAACTTGTTCAGCTTGTTACCATCGATGTAATCTCTCAATTATAACTCAGTTGGTAGAGCACTGGTACGGTATTCTGAGGATACAGGTTCAACTCTAGCTTCAGTCAAGTTTTAACCAGAAAGTGATTATTACAAGGCGATATCTAATCTGATTCCCTTACCCTACAAATGTGATATATAAAAAAAAACACAACTTTGACAATTTAGATAGCATTTGAAGGTTTGCATGGTGGAGATAGCAATACGATAAAGATTTACGGTAGCACTATGTGACAAATCTCTTTTGTGAGTTTGTGAGGTTCTGAGAAGAACCGGGGGGGGGGGGGGGGGGGGGGGGGGGAGCTCAACATTTCGGACAGTATGCTCTGCCCATCGTCAGGAGACTGAAGGGATTCCAATGGTGAACGGGTGTTATGTGATTGGAAGCATTGAAGAGCGTTAAGCATGCGACAGTGGAGTCCTAGCTTGAAAATTTACAAAAGCAAAACGGGCACAGCTCAACCTACTCAAGATAACTGACACTTTCAGTACCAACTTCCTGGAGGTAACACGCGACCTTGCAAATGTCACATCATCAGTTTACACTTCCACACTAATCAAGCATTGCACGGCAAACATATTAGTGCATGGTCTAATGACTCACTTGATAAAACTTACAACTCGACCAATAATTGCTTTCATTGGGAATAATTTCTTCAAATTTCCGCATACATCAACCGTATAATTTGACCCAAGAACATTTGTAACATCAGGATATGTGCTAAATTAACAAGCCTGATAATGTGCCGTCTTCGATACCCAAACATATCATTCAAAAACTACATGCAGTAATGCTTCAAAATTAATGTGGTGGGATTTGTTACGACCTTCACATGGTAACAATTTTATGAAGTTGCGAGTTTGAGCTCCTTCTACAACATACACCTTACGTTTCTTCAACATATATGTATGATACTTTACATCAAAAGTTATGAGCTGATACATTTTGAAAGGCTTTGACCCTCCTTTTGTTTTATCAGTCACAGGCAAGTCAAAAATTCAATCCTGTTCCCCTGCCGTGTGTTTTACACAGGCTAGTCACCATCAGTCAGATCAGAATTTTTTTGTAGGCACTGTGACAGTCAAAATCCATCAACAGATAAAAGCAGGTAACTGACGGGCACAGCTGGCTTATCAATCTCTGACAGTCAAAGCATAGCTATATCAGATTTTGTAACAATCACAGCCAGTCAAGACAGGGAGCACTCAACTGTTTAAAACAGTCCCTTTTTTTATTTGACTGCTGGGCTGGCCTTGTTGAAATTGCCAACCAGAGAGGGAGGGTTAGGCCAAAAATTCAGCGGTAGCTCCAACAGCGCCCTCTATTGCCGCACCTCCTCAATTTTTTTTACCAAACAGCACCAAGGAATGGGAAATTGCACCAAGGCAAATGATCGAGGGCACCAAGGCAAATTATGGAGGACACCAATGTACATGAGGACACCAAAAAAAAGCAAAATAGTACCCCACCTTGTCTGAACAATCCAAGCTTTAAAAAAAAAAAAAAAAAAAAAAAAAAAAGCCGCGTCGCCGCATCAATTCCGGAACTTTGGCCTGACCAGAGACCGAGTATTTTTTTTTTGGCCTTAATTAAGGTGTACACAAATTAAAAGGCCATTTTCCCAAAATGTAACCTTTTTGGCCTTAAATATTTAGTAGCCTTATCTCACAAATGAATGATGTTTCCATCATGGAAATACAACGCCAGCTGATCAAAGGAAACACAATTTTTCTACCTAATAGCTTGCAATTCACTCACACGCTGCTGGGATATTATCAATTATCGGTCTCTGAACTGCATCTCAAGAGAATTCAAACCTCTCCAATTTCACACTGAATTCAACAGCGAGAATTACAACTCCTAGTATGACTAAAGATGGGAGTTGGTCCCAAGAGTCTGCTACTAGTCTTGAATTGACAAACGAGGCTATTTTTAACAAACTAGAAATCCACATTTCAACAAGTATTATTCAGTTCACACATTTAGAGGATTCCTTTCCACGACAGCCCCTTAATTTTATCCACAGTAGTCAGTTCATGTCTCGTACATGGCAAAGGAGAAAATACTGCAGCTACAATCCTGGCCAAATCTCGCTGGGCCACCAACCCCCCAGCCCCCGCTCAATGTTGTCTCTCATTGCGCGGTGTGTGCTCCATCCGCTGGCGAGAACAACATTGACCGGGGGAGCAGGGGAGTTGGTGACCGTTGGAGGCTAAGGTTGTTTCCAAGTGTCCCAACCATTTTGGCCGGGATTGTAGAAAGACAGCAGGTGCAATATTTGACATAGAAAAAAGATCAACAAATTTGTATTTATTCCAGTTTCACAACCAATACCTCCAGAAACTTGGGAACAATTTGTTTTCCATCGTCATCCATTTTGTCCATACTTTATGGCACAATGACAATCCTCAGACTCCTACCAACCAATCAAAAGCCTAGACACATAATCAGTTTTTGTTATTATCAAGGATTAACAATCAGCAATGATTTTGTATGCTTGGAACTAGCAAAAGGACTGGAGTGAAAAGCTGGGGAAAAAGCCTGTAATTACAGTTTCTGAAAGTCTTGTTACAGGGACGCCTATAAGCATTGTTCTGACTGTTTTCAGACAAAGCACGCTGCAATTTTCTCAGCGATTAGACCATTTCCTCCCCAGATCTACTAGGGAAGGGAGTTCCTGTCTTCTCCCCCTGGAGATTTCTGGGAGGCGGTAGCAGCGATTTACTTGGTGTCTCATGGGTACAGGACACGCCATTCTCAAGGGTGTTTTCAGAGCACGCTGGCAGGATCGGTGGTAGCGCTGTGGTCTGGGAGGGATGTGAAGGATATGGAAGTTCCCTCACAAACGCAAGTCCTGGCATCCCAGGGCGCGTGGAACCAGTGGCAGGGGGTAGCCGGGGGGTGGATTAGGGTAATAAAGTGCCAAGTGAGTGGGGATGAGGTTTCCTTCCGTCTACAAACCCTGTTAGAATCCACAATGCCTTCCTGTGTGATATGACACTAACCATGATCGGATAGCATTCAGTCAAGGCGATGTAATCAGTAAAGATACAACACCGATAAACGTAAGAAAAGCAAAAAGTTTTTTTCTGATAGATTTATTTCGTGGTTAATTTTATAAGCTTTGATCAACAGCTTTCATAAATGTTTTGAATTTCTAGGAAAGTTTCACTGAAAGGATATTTCTAAAACAGAAATATTACCTTTTCGCCACGCTTTCCTTCCGGACCCTGTAAAAAAAAAAGGAATAAAGAGTCAACATCTATCTTCAACAAAGAAATATCAAATTGAAAACAAATAAAAACACTGCAGAATTGTTGACAAGTTAAAACTTTGACATGACTAAATACGTGATGGTCCCCAAAACAAAACCATGGTAGCATTTCAACCTGTTTACAGGTATGGTACTCCACATTTGCAGGTTCAATTTCTCTTCAAACTTTTATTCTCTGTTCAATCAAAAAAAGGAAAGAAAAGTAATACTGATCTTACCACTGGACCAATCATCCCCTTTGGACCAACTTCACCATGCTCGCCATGGTCTCCCTATTTGGAAACAAATACACCAGGATTTTTTTTTTTAGAATTTGTAGCATTTAGCTTGTGACATTTTAATAAATAAATTGTAATCCTTAGGCCTACATAGCGTTTTCCATCGTATCAACAATCTCAAAGCGCTTTACACTCATTCCTCGTTCATCAGGCCACGAGACTACGCGGCAGCCGATATCAGCATGCAAATTTGGCCTCTATACTCTCACAGGTACCCATTTATACTCCTGGTATGAGAGAGGCAATTGTAGAACTACATGTAAGTGTCTTGTCCTTGGGCACACACATTATACATGTAAAAGCTGATGTTATGGCCAGTAGACAACACAACATCATTTGAAGTTCCTTTGAAGAGCAAATCATGGCTAAGGATTGACTATTGTGAGTAAAACTCAACTCTGTCCCAAGCAGGAAACCATGATTAAAATAAATTGAGTGTTTTCGCTGTGTTTTCTCACCTTTTGTCCTGGTTTTCCAATATCACCTGAAACACCATCATAGCCCTGGATAGAATTATCAAGAAAATATGTTGGAAAAATGAAAGAATGTTTTGTAAATGTCACAAAAGATGTATTTTTAGATTCTGATATTTCTAAGACACTACATATTTTCAATGACTAAGGAAAGCCAATTTAAACTGGCTACAATGACTTTTGTTCCAAAATTACTTCAATGATGCACAGAGTAGTCAATAATGGCATTGCTAGACAAGGAAGGAAGAAGAAACCATTACAGACTTACCGCTCTGCCAGGGCCGCCCAAGTCTCCCTGAAAGAATGAAATTAACAATCAATCAAAATTAACATTTCTTTTCTTCTAAGTTGAGTGACTCATGGATTTTATCCCCCTCTTGGGAATTGCTGTTGCCCAAGGCAAACTGCGACTGTTTGAACTGAAAACCATGATTTGCCAGAAAGCAATTAGCTTTCGCATAAAACAATCCTATTGCCACCAGCAGCAAGTAGGAATGGCTTAATCATCCAAGTTAGCAATATGGATTACAACACAACCAATGAGCAGATAATATCTCGTTCGCTACACGTAAGTAAAAAACGGATACAGATAGCTAAACGTAAGTGTAAGCGTATCCGTTCGCTTGCGAAACCTCCCTATTAACCAATAGTACCGCTCACATTGTCCAATTCATGAATATGGATTCAATGAGATGGCTTGGTTCAAATTCACACTACATGCTACTACCTGGTTTATAGTGTATGATAAATCTGCTTGTCAGAGGCTGATAACCAATAGGAATGGCCAAATTGTCCAAGTTATGAATATGCATGATGAAACAACCAATGAGAAGGCTGGATTCAAACTCACCTTATCCCCTTTACTGCCCGGTTCACCTGGGGGCCCAGGGGGTCCTGGTTGTCCCATGACACCCAATCCAGGGGGTCCTGGATCACCATTATCACCTTGGTAACCAATAGGTCCTGGCATGCCCGGGGGACCCTACGCGAGGAAAGAAACAGGAGGATTGTAGGCCTACCATCTTTAAAATAATTCCAACAAAGTTTTCTTCCTTTTGTATGAGCATTTTAAGTGTGCAAGGGGAGATGCTTATATTTTAATTTTGGATTTTCCTGTTGGGTTTGTGCATCAAAGCAGATGTGCAAATACTTTAAATACAAAGATTTGGAAAAAAATTTACAATGTAGAGAAAAATTCCCAAAATAGCCTGTATCTTTAAGTTCAGTAAATGAACAGCTTTGAAACTGTTATGCTAAAAACTTGGTTACTTTTCCCCAAAATAATCATTCCCCAACTTTTTCAGTCCTCAACAGTGCTAGTGTATGTTGATGCACTGATCTTACACTACTTGAATTTGAAACTGAAATTCCACTTTTTTTTCTGCTTGGAAAAGACTCAATCTTGAGGTCATTCACCCCACACCTCTTCCAATCCCACCCTAATCAATTGACAGATTGCTCTGCATGCTCCACTGACACCCAAACAATGTCTGTCTGTAATCATCCACTGGGTTGGCCACAGCAGGTGGGCCATGTACCGTTACTTAAAGCATGTCAGGTGTTTAGGGCTTAGGCTTAGGCTAAGTTTGTAGTCTGATATGAAAGTTTCTTGGTCAAGAAGCAGGTCATAGGTGGTCAGGTGATTTGATTAAATAGGTTTTTTTTAAGGGTGTGTCTGTATCTCTTGTCTTAAGGGCTCAGTGTCACTCATAGGTCAATTACAACTTTACTGGGAGCATGCCGACAGTAGGCATAGCCGTAGCTCTGGAAGCCGGTTTGGGACATGACCTTAGCTTTGTTTTGTAGAGAGGCAAACTATGGAGCATCTACAACGACACTACGTTCAAATTTCTAACTTTGTGCAAAGGTTGTTCCTAGAATTTGAGCCAGTGGGTCAGTGCTTGTCTTTTCTTTAAGTATGCTCTAATCATCTTCAGGAAACTGAAGACTTTCTAGTTCTACTTGTCTCAGAGATGATCAGAGGATACACTGAATAAAATGCCACAGCTGATAAAAAAAACTCGCCACAAGCCAAGAGTTGGCACCACAATCAGTTAAATAATGACTCAGAACTGCTGGACAAGGCGTCCATTATTCGAAAAAAAATTTCAAGCCTCTGACTCAAGATGTATCAGAGTTTCACTTCTGCCTTTCCTCACCATGTCAACACTTCTTATCAAAATATCTCTGAATTAGATACAGTATCCATGCACTTACCTGCACACCCATGCCAACTTCTCCTTTAATACCAATAGGACCCTGAGAAACAAAAAAAATCGAATGATAACTTCTTCGAGAATGCTAAGGTGGTAGAAACTTTCTACAAAGCTAATTTTTGACTGAGGTAAGTGAATGCAAGTTTTTTGGGGGTTTTCTGGCACTGCTTGTAATCAATAAGCTCTCTTATCAGAATGTGCAGAAGGCCTAAGGATCAATTTGTGAGGTTTTGATAAATGTTTGACAACATTTTTACTAGTCATTCGTCATTTACACACAATCCAACATTGGGTTTTACCCAGTCACCGATGTAGTTTGTTAATACACTGTATTTAGAGTTGTCCTGAGTGATTGTGAGAAAAATCACTCGGGTGGGACTCGAACCCATGACCTCCTGTTAATACACTAGTGCAGAGAACTTGACCACCAAGTTTGCCGGGGTACGTCGGCTGGCTGGTTTGAGTCATAAGTAGCAGTGGGTTCTACAGCTGAACTATTTATAATAAGATGGAATTTGCCTCCGGTGATGTAAAATTACACACCACCGCAATATTTAAGTTCTCCTAAATTTGAAATTGAAATATACTCACGGGAAATCCTGTTGTACCTGCCAGGAAATCAAGAAAAAGAAAAGAATTACTCAATAACTGCTGGAGAACTTGAGAAGGTACAAAGGTACTAAGTGTTGTAAACAGAGTTGTTCAGACAAATGCGCTACATGATAGTGTACACTATGTACTCTAACGGATTTGTGCACAGCTAGTGAGGGTGCTGTGTAGCTTCAATCACAAGTGCTAAATGAAGGTACTTGCAAGCTACATTGTACAGCCAAATCACAAATACCCGAAGCTTGCAAAACTTGTGAAGTACGGAAGAATTTTCTCACATCTTATTGCTTTCCAAGTCTTGCCAGTGCAGTGCTCAGCTATATCTCTGTCTAATGGAATTAGCATGTGTGCAAAACTACAAATACTTCATTATCTACAAGCTTGTAAAAAACTCTACAGGAATCGATCATAGAACCAATCCGCAAGAGTTCCAGAATAAGTTACAAAATAGTTTCCTTGATCGCATTCTTCTTGTAAGAGGATTAAGAACTGAGATTTGGTTTTGAAAGGAAATACAGGATTAATGGGTATTCCAAGACAGGACCTGTTTACAGATTACAGCAACTAATCTCTGGATAATCTGCAGTAATCCTAAATAACCCTCTTCAAAGAAACTATCCTGTGACTTTTCTGGGAATACTTTTGTAAATGGTTCCGTTTTATTATTATTAATTGGAACAAGGGTAACTCATTCCCGAGTACAATACGTCCATGAGTCTACAAGTAAGCTTCAAGATGTTAGCAGTCCAGACAGCATATGGATGAATGGCAAACAGCAGACAGACAGACAACTAGACTGACCAACAAACAGTGTTAATTTTGAAGCTATCAAAAGTCTGCATTTCAAACCATCACGTACGGAACTGTTGTTCGGTTACAAGGGCGGATCCAGAGAGGTTAGGGGGGGGGGGGGCTCTCACAAGTGAAAAATGACCTTATTAGGAACATTGTGGTCACTGCTGGAGGGGTGCGGTGCCCCATCCAGAACCCTTGATCCGCCCAGTGGGTTATACACAAAATTTAAAATTGTTAATACATTATGATTGATTTCTTCAAATTATATACATCTTTGACTTTAAATTTGTGTATTGTTTTTAGCACCAGATGGGTTTGTTACAATGCTTTCTGTCACAGTCAGATTTGGTATCAGTCATTATTGAGTATGGACTCCCAGGACAAGTACCCACTCATCAGTGAAACTTAGTCCTGATTAATGAGTGATATCATCAAATGGCATAAAAACGGAGACAAAATGAGAAAAAAAGATGAGACAACACACACACACACACACACACAAAAGATATGAGACAACACAACACTGAAATCACATCTAAAATCCTGCTAAGAAAAGAAGTAAAGACACAAACATTAGAGTGACAACCTCTGCGACGTGAGTGACAAAAATATTAATTAAGTTTTGTTAGTAAAATGAAATGCCGTTCTATCAGTAGATCTACATGTATCTGGCATTTTGTGGTATAAGGCTTGTATCACCTCAGTGAGAGGATGATCATGACAAACTAAATTCCTGTGGTATTATCTGGTATCAACTGCTATACATGGATGTTAGTGTTACAAAAGCAAATTGGGTTAGTACACAGAGACTGTTTGAATGAGTTAGCAGTGAAGAAATGTGAAGAAAAGATGAAAACACACGGGATTGAGCCAAACCTTGTTCACCTTTTTTACCTCTCCGTCCATTGTTCCCAGGCACACCGGGAAGACCTACGGGCCCTGCAAACAACGAAACGATACACAGGCAAAAAAAAAAAAACAAAATTAACACAATGTTCACGATATTCAGCATGCAGCGCATGTACAACACCATCTTCATTTAAAAGCATGCACAAATTTTGTTCAGAATTCACAAAGTTGTGAAGCATGAAAGAAATATTCTTATTGCACTAATCAGAAATCTCTGTTGCACACAAAAATGTTTCATGTTGTAAACATATCTTTGGTTGCTACATTCTGTGTAGAATATGCAAACGTCTGTGTACCATTCATAAATTTTAAATTTGTTTTGTGTACAATTCAGATTTTGTGTAAAAGTCAAAGTTCTTTTATCTTCTTGATTGAGTACATTCCTTGTAAAAACACTGCAGGCATGCAACTGGGAATTTCGGGAAAAAACGAGGAAATTCCAAATCACATAAGACTTTGTACCGTGTTTTTCAATTTCTAATGGCATTAATGAGAAGTAAAAAAACAAGGAAATCAGCAGATCCGAGGAAAAGTTGCATGCCTGACACTGTAATTTTAAAATACAACTTCAGGCAAGAAGTAAAAGAAAAAAACATGTAAGAAAGGGCATTCAAATGAATAATAATCAACATACACAAAACATCACAACAAAATGTTGGACACTAAAAATCAAGTTTAAAGGTGAATCTTTACGACACAAATCTTGATGACCACCACCCACAATTTAAAACTTGTCATGAATCAAGATCAGGAAAAAATTTGGACAATCAGCATTGAATGGCTTCCTTTTATTAGTACATGTTCCTAAAAATAAATGGTGGTTATTTTCCTACATTTAAGACATGGTACAGAATGCCAAAATGTAAACGCAATACAGTTCGTCTCTGTATCCAAATAAACAAAATATCTGTAATACTCATATGGAGCGGAGAAGTCGCACGAACACTGCATAAATTTTCCAGATATGTTTTCCAACGGCTATTTCGGTATGTGTGCTCTGGTTTAATACTGAGGAACATCAAGCATAATTTTAAGATGACGTACATTTCTTATTTCTGTCAGATTACGTCTTGTCAAAAATACGTACATGTACATGCTACAACACTGCAACGTAAGATCATGTTCAGAGGTACATTTAATCTTATATTTCGTCGTGAAGAAAATACAAATGAAGAACTGTCCATAATTTCAAAAGTTTTAAATACTTGTAAAAGCAATTCACTCATTACAATGTTATGTGAGATTCACAGGTTAATTTCCTTTTTTTTTTATTTAAAGACAAAATGTTTTAAAGTGCTGCACTTGTTTCACATGTTCTAGAGAGAGTTTTCAAAACTTAGGGGCCTGTTTCATAAATTCTTCAGCACAAAACTGCAAAACATCATTCACAGAGCACAAACAAAGACTTCAAAGCAAACACTGCCCAGGTACAGATCACAAAAACTAACCTTTAAAAATGTTAGATAGACCAGAACATTTATTCCCCAGCAACCATTTTTTGATTTGCGTGCGTGCGTATCGGAGTAGCGGACTCATAATGCCAGTGATGTATAGATTGGTCCTTCGGAATGTAAATACGGCTTGCGATATTTGTTTGGCTAACATTTACCAATTACCAACAGTCTGGCGTGGAAGTTGTTCCAGAGCTCACATTTCATTGAATGGCATCCTGTGTGGCGTTATTTCGCCTGTCTGCAGTCATGTATGCATCCCCTCAACGATGACAGAGCAACCTTTTTTTTTCCTGTTCATGTGCCACATGAGTATGTGCTCACAGAAATGTATTTTAAGATAAAATAGGGAACCTAGTTGTAATACATTCTATTTCAGGCTTCAGCCGGAGGGGGGGGGGGGGGGGGGGGTAAGGAACAGAAGGGTTTCAAATGGTTTGGGAAACTTTAAAGCATCCTTTCAGCATCATTCCTAAAATGCCCCAATAATGTAGAAGTGTGAGGGAACAGAAGTCATTATTTTAATAGATTTATTTTCCAATAATTGGTTTTTGTAAGAGTTGCCAAAAATAATGGCTAATAACATGGCCTTTAAATTGACTTAAATGCACTGTCATCAATCCAGGCAAACAAATTACCTTCATTTCAAGCGCTTAATTCAAGCTTAAGTCTTTTAAGAAAAGAACATCATTCCTCCTTCCCCCACCCTTTTATCACCCCCTTCCAAAAGCCCAGTGTATAAACACATCTTGACAGAGATAACGGTGTCAATTGGCACAGGAAGAGTCCACAGTTCTAAAGTCAGACGCTGTCCATCTCAGGTGACGCAGCAACCTGCCACAAAGGAAACGCCGGAGATTCGGTGCAGGCCGAACGACGGAAACTCCTAGAGAAGGCTCGTATTGTCTTTATCTCGGGGCCCACCGTGTAGACGCCATGTTATCGACAACTTGCGAGGGCATCTCGAAGAGATTTTTCAGCCGGTTTGCACTCTGGAGTCTCACAAAGTGTCTTACAACGATCACCTATGGATGGTCTTGCTTTGGAAGCGATTATGCGCAGTGTATGAAATAAAAATGAACATCCTGTGCAACTTGCCGACAAGTAACCAACACCCTAGGTGAAGGCTGTAATTTCTGGCAAGGGATGCCCTATGTTTACAAGTGCTGATAGCGCTTCCGTTTCAATACTCCGATTCTTCAAGACCTAGATCACGTTGTTTGAAACGTTGTTCGCACATGTGTGTCAAAATCAGATATAAAATTGTTCGTTGGAAAACTGTATCCCATTGACATGATGCAGTACATTGCGAGGTCAATATCATCAGCTGCTAGGCACAAAATGGAGTAAAGTGAAATGATTCGGGCCTATTGCACATCTTTGTAGCCTAAAAAATGAGAGAAAATCAATATAATCATTCAACCTATTTTGTCTTGTTCTTTCTTAACGAGGGAGCTTTGCATACATGTACCAAATGTGGTGTCAAGGCATAACCTTAAAACTGAAATTACAGTGTATCAGTGAGATTTCTTCAAACCAGGTGCTAGTCAAACTCAGACTTGAACTTTGTGCCAAACTCTAACAAGCATGGCTTTCTATGTCCACACAATACAATGCTTTAACGATGACAAACCATACCATCCCACAGAAACACATCTTAACTTCCTGTAGCAATCAATTTCGCTAACCATTTTTTTGTGAACAAGGCACACAAAATGTAAGCCTGAATTTCAAACTCATTCCACATGTTGCGAGACAGAAGACAGGCGTCAGTCTTCTCCAGGCACCTGGGACAATTTCCTGATGGACTTGCTGACTAAGATCACAACTTAATCCGCGAGGTCCCGGTGAGCCAGGCTGAGTCTGTATTTCACTCCCAGCCGTTCCCTAGGTGATCCCCAAGAATATAACAATCAGAAAATAAAGATGTTGCAAGTTCCTCGATGGATTAGAAACCTGGATTTAAAAGCGATACAGGATTAGCGATAATTTATCAAGGGATTTTGCTTGAGTGTTTAGATATCTTCGCAAGATGGCTTGCAGAATGCTGAAAACAGTACGCAGGAATATATCTCATGTGCACTTTCAACTTTTTCAATTTGCTCGTTCAGAGCAAAGACAGTTCAAATTCCTGATTGAACTCGGGATTGTTACTTTTTCTCAGGATAAATTGTGCACAATTGACGGCTATGTATTTAAAGCCTGAAGTCTTGCCTAATAAAATTTACCCACCAATATTTTCAAACTACATAAATGTCTTTCATTTCAGTATTTAGAAGGGTCAACCACCAATTCAAAAGGTACAAATTAAAAGAAATCAGGTGCAAGAATCTTAAGTAGTGGATGAATGTCTTAAATTTCCCTGAAAAGGTAATCCGGCAATTTCAAGTGGTCAAACTTAGGCCTTGAAAAGACTAATCCCCGGAACACCGCAAACCCACAACTCATCGGCTATTTTACCAATAAACCCATACTGACCTTGCCTGACCCCCTTGTTATACCATTGACCCTTCCTTCTGACCTCTGACCCCTCCCATGATTCATCATTCTAATCATCCCCAGTACAACTTTAAGGGAGGGGAGCCCACTCAATCGTAGACCCAACCTCAAATTTTCCGGTTAGGAACCTCCTATTTGGGTCAAAAGTTGAAATTGGGCGAAGGAACATGAGTGAGTCAGAATGGGCTGGGAACAAAATTCTGAGATGGATTGCGGTTTTTGTTAATCTGTTCTGTCAGCTACATTTCACTGCCTGAAGGCCCGGTATGTCAATAATTTTGTCTGCTGGAACAGTTTCAGATCGAGGGTATCTTTGGTAGACCGCAACCACAAGTGTCAATCCACTGAACTGCGATTGACTGCGATATTGCTAAACTGGGTATTTTTTATCAGTCAAGCAGCAAAATTTAAAAAAGGCAGTCAGTTTGATGTACTTTAATGATTTTTTTTCACACTTCAACAAGAAAACCAAGACCAGCTGACAGTTGAAATAGGCCTAGTCTGTATCCAGCTCACTCTTTGAGCTGCTTGTCACAACATTTGTTAGAAACAGGTGCCATATCTGATCAAGTTTTTGAGAACCTGTCACAGAACTGTCACAGCCAAAATGCATCATATTTTGTTGTAGTTTGGTTGGTAGTCTGAACCTGCAATTAAAAATAATTTGTGAAATTAACCAAGTTGTTTGCTTTGAATCTTCAAAGCTCATAAAAAAATTGCTAAGGGCAATTCTAAGCACGAACGATTGCTTTTAATTTTTAATAGGGCCCATTTAACACTTAATACATTTCTGTTGTTGAATTTCTACTTTTATTAGTTTAACCAGTTCACGTCCGATGACGTGTATAAACGCAAAGGTTTTGCAGTATTCGGAACGGATGACAGATAAACACGCAACGAGCAAGGCCGGAAATATCTGTCAGTGACCCACTCGCAGCGAACGAAACCAGAAATATCAGGGTGTGCTACCCGCAGATGACGGCCTGAACCCATCTTGCATTGAGGTTCGTGAAAAACAATCCCATGCCTGGGTCCGGTGTCACGGTCTCACTTCTCCGGCGTGCTAGCTTCTCCGGAGGG